AGGAAGCCCCCCACCCCCCAGCTTCGACCTCTAAAACGCTTTATAATCCCTGCATCATTTTAGCATCTGGACTCATCTAGCAAACATGGTTCTGTAGCTAAGCCGTTTCTGCATCCCCCTCCCCTGCTATATGCGGTTTTAAAACATCGTTCTGCCTTTTCATCTCTTGTTATTTCTTCTTCTCACTTCAGTTTTCATTTATGGTACTTGCCTTGTCCTTGTATTCTGCTTCTTTCCCCTCAATTTTTTATTTTCCTCCCTCCCATCCTTAAACAGTGTCTTCCTGCAGCACCATTTCACCCAAGTCTCTGGTAGGGCCGCTGCTTTTGTCATAGACGTGGGCCTTCTTATAGCTTTGGAAACTCTGTAAAAAATGTAAAACTAATAATAATGTGGTAGTTTTATGACCCCCATGCTGTTCGGTGGTAAGTGGTGGTGGTTCTTGGGGGCCACTGTCTAGTAATGTGCAGGAGATGATGTCCTAAAAGGATAAGTCTCTAGAGCAACTCATGTGTGGATCCGAGGAACAAACTACTGTTCTGTCAGCCAGGTTTTCTCCAGGTTTAGGCACAGATAGTTTTGCAGACTATGGTTCTCACCCTCCCGGAATTACAATTGAGATCAGTTCCCCTGGAGAAAACGACAGCTTTGGAAGATGAACTTTATGAGCACCACCCCCAAATCTCCAGGAATTTCTCACCCCAGAGTTGGAAACCCTGTTTGAAACTGATACATATAGTAAGAAAGCAGTACTATGCATGTTATGATTAACTACCTTATTCTTATGCTTTTATTTCTTAACCCAGTTATGAATAACGCCCTTATTCTCATGCTATTACTACTTTGTGTGTGTGTGTGTGCCCATGCCCGGAAGTCATAGTGACCTCTGGCGACTCCTACTGGGGCATGGAGGACGTTCAGAGAAGTGGTTTGATACCCTGCTTCTGCCTCCCGATCCTGACATTCTTTGGAATGTCATACTTGCCAGAATCGTCCCTGTTTAGCGTCTGAGATCTGACGAGGTTGGGTTTGCCTGGGCTATCCAGGCCAGGGCCTCATGGTATTACTTCTTAAACTAGTTATCAGCGTGGTCCCCGCACCCCTCCAGTTTGGTGTGTTTGAAATCTGCCTGCCATGTATTCCTCCCCCATTTTCTAAGGTTCTCATCACTGCATCCGTATTTCTCTTTTAAAGCGAGGCATCTTGGAAGATAGAAATCTGCACTAACCGCGTTAATGTTTAATTCCTCTGCCAATGCTTACGATCTTACCATTCTTTTCCTTGACATAGTGGACGAGGTGTACCAAGATAAACTCTGCATATATTACTTTTCCTCAGGGTTGTTTTTTTTTAAAAAGGTGCCAGAACTCTCAAGAAGGAAATGAAGTTTTCAATCTGTATAGCTGAAAACTCACGAACTTTAAAATATTTTTAAAAGAATTTTGTTGAAGAGGTTCCGGAACTCTGTTTCGGCATGTTCCTCCAGAAAAAATGCCCTGCTTTTGCCTATACACTAGCAAAAACAGGACAGTATCTGACTGAAGCCAACATTTGAAAGGAGGATTTTTAAACAGGACAGGCCTCCTTAAGACAAACCAGGACATTGCTTGTTTATTTGGAAACAAGTCACAGTGAATTTGATTGGAGTTGTTCCTTAAGGAAACATACATAAGAATAGCAGTCTGTCTTGTCTAAATGCATGCACACATTATTTTCCTGTGGATGACAACTTGACAAGGTCTTCATTCCTGTCCTGGTGGGCTTGTATATCTACCTGCAGTGTAGTAGATGTATCATGCTAACTGATGGGGTGTTTGAATGGCTGGTAAGTGCATCTCAAACTTATTTGCCGCCACAGGAATCGGATTTAATCAACAATTTACACCATTATTTTTTTTAACCCAAGACATTTTATACAAAAAGTGCACTGTTCACAGCTGTACCACAGTACAAAATTATTTACCTGATAGCTACACCCATGAATTGAAAGGCTGTGTCTTCTCTAGCAAGTGAAATTTCACTGGAGCAATCCTATATTCATTAGAATGTGACAGCAGGCGTGATATACTGCTCTCTCCAAATGGGAAAAAAACATTTGTGGAGGGAGGGAATAATTATTTACACTAAACTCATGCTGGGAAATAAAAGCTTAGTGAATTCTGATTTTATTGCCTTCTGTGGAAAAGCTAATGTTCATCTCTGAGAACACATTTACAGTGTTACGTATTTGTGTGTGTGTGTGTGACGTGATATACTGCTCTCTCCAAATGGGAAAAACCCATTTGTGGAGGGAGGGAATAATTATTTACACTAAACTCATGCTGGGAAATAAAAGCTTAGTGAATTCTGATTTTATTGCCTTCTGTGGAAAAGCTAATCTTCATCTCTGAGAACACATTTACAGTGTTACGTATTTGTGTGTGTGTGTGTTAAGTGCTGTCAAGTTGCTTCTGACCCGTGGCAGCCCTCTGAATTAATGTCTCCCAAATGTCTTCTCGTTACCAGCCTTGCTCCGTTCTTTACACTTAGGGCCGTGGCTTCCTTGATAGAGTCAATCCATTGTAGGTTGGGTCTTCCACTTTTCCTGCTGCCTTCACATTTTCCTGTCATTATTGACTTTTCCAGGGACTTTTGTCTTCTCATAATATGACCAAAGTATGGTAGCCTCAGTTTAGTCATTTTGGCTTCTAGAGAGAGACTCACTTGGAGTCTCAGAGCGGCTTACAAACTCCTTTCCCTTCCCCTCCCCACAACAGACACCCTGTGAGGTGGGTGGGGCTGAGAGAGCACTGAGAGAAACTGCCCTTTTTCAAGAACAGCTCTGACAGAACTATGGCTTGCCCAAGGTCATCCAGCAGCTGCAAGTGGAGGAGTGGGGAATCACACCCAGTGCTCCCAGATTAGAGTCCGTGCACTTAACCACTACACCAAACTGGCTCTCCAGAGTTCAGTCTGGATTTGATCTAGAACTCACCTATTTTTCTTTGGCGATCTATGATATCTGTCAAACTTTCCTCAAACACTGCATTTCAGAGGAATCAATCTTCCTGCCGGCTTCCTTCATTATCCAGTGTTACAAAACTCCGGCTGTTTTCCGTCTCACTTGTGTGGCTTCTGTTACGTGTGACCGCAGCCATTATTGACTTTTCCAGGGACTTTTGTCTTTTCATAATATGACCAAAGTATGGTAGCCGCAGTTTAGTCATTTTGGCTTCTAGAGAGGAGAGTTCAGCCTGGATTTGATCTAGAACTCACCTATTTTTCTTTGGCGATCTATGATATCTGTCGAACTTTCCTCAAACACCGCATTTCAGAGGAATCAATCTTCCTGTCGGCTTCCTTCATTATCCAGTGTTACCTATAGACAACCTGAAATCTTTTGTTTTTCTTACAGGTGGCGTTTCTTTGAGAAATAGTTGAACGTCGGTGGATTATGACCGTGAACAATCCTACAGAGAGGCTCTTCAGATACAGACTTGGGTTACACAGACGTTCATAATGGATCATTTCTTAACCAAAGGAAAACGCACCAGAGACTTAAAAAGAATCTGCTTCTTTTTACTTTTACTCTGTCTGATTACTTCTGTTTGCCCCGATCAAGACTACTACAGTTTACTTGGAATATCTAGAGAAGCGACAAGTCGAGAGATAAGACAGGCTTTCAAGAAGTTGGCGTTAAAGTTGCATCCAGATAAGAATCAGGTGGGTTTCCTTGCCAAGAAAATTATTTCTGTGTGGCAAAGACAAAAGTGTTGTAGCTGCTTCAGATGAAACAGACAGTGGGGTATCAAAATTATAGTGATTACATGGGGTTGGATCCAACCAACTTTTCCACTGGTGAGAAATGGAGGAAGGGGTCCTCTTTGACTCCCAAAAAGCTATGTTTGGGATCATGGCATCTGTATGGTAAAAGACATGGGGTACGGAGGCTGTTGTGAGAAAGGGTACTCAGTGAGACTGAATTTTTAAAAAGCTGTCTGGATCCAACCCATGATATAAAGTTATTTGGAAAATAACAGTTGATGGCCAGTGGTTCTCCAAGTAGGACCCAAAAGTGGATCACAAATGTCTCTCCAGTAGGTTTTGAATCTAGGAGGGAGGAGAAGGAATGGGGTGAGCTGGGAGAGGAACCTCAAAGACAAATCTGAGTTTGCCTCTGTATAACGTGTGAAATGGCCATGAAACGCAGTTATTGGCTCAGAAATGCTCCATATTTATCAATGCCCAGCACGAAAAGTGAAGTATAAACTTGTTCAGTGTTGGTTGATGTGGATTCCTGCATTTTTATTTTGGGGAGCGGGAAAGTAGTATGGAGTGACTTAGTAAGCAAGTTCCCAAAATTGCAGCAAGTTTAGAACAGGGCGTGACAAATCCCACACGCCAGGATGCTATGGCGCCAAGGAATTCCATTGTGGTGCCTAGTATTTTCAGCAGTTATTTATTGTAAGTGCGTCTTGGTGATTCTCGGTAGAGTTACAAAGCTTATTTAAGTAGGGTGTAAGGCCTTTTGTTGTTATGACAACCAGGGTTACCTCATCTTTATTGGCAAGCCACAGCACTTTTGTTATAGCTTCAAAAATGACAAGAGGCCAAAGATTTTGTGGTAGCAATAATTAGAAAATATGGCCATTAAAATAGAAAACCCTGGAAAATAAGTCTGGCTACTAAATGTTGGGGGTGGCTTGTAAAACTGAAGAAAATTTGTCAAGGCTTAGTTTAGAAGCGGGTTCCATGCCAAAGGATTTTGAGATTCCCTGGGTTAAGAAGCGCTCGTTTCATTTCACATGCATCATTTCTGTCTCTTTGGTCCCCTTTTGCAATCATTTCTTTTCTTACGAGGAAGCACTGCGATAATCAGTATCTTCAGAGCATATAATTTTGGATCCATCACAGAATGCAGTCTATCAGCTTTCTATTGCAGCCTGACAGGTGTTTGAGAAACCCAGGCAGGCAGAAGAAATGGGTGATTTACTGTCAGTGTGATGGGACGCTCAAACTGGCAGATCGCCTACATTCAGCTGGGAGCGTCACAATTTGCCCAGACTTGTTCTGTTCTACAATACTCTTACTTTACCCTGTGTTTCAATACTAGCATCTGACTGTGAACTACATGTGTGATCACATAGTCAAACACAAAGGTCTCCAGCCTGGTTCCCCTGTATGCCATTGAGAGCCAGTTTGGTGTGGTGGTTAGGAGCGCAGGAGAACTGGGTTTGATTCCCCACTCCTTCACATGCAGCCAGATGGGTGACCTTGGGTCAGTCACAGTTCTCTCAGAGCTGTTCTCTCAAGGACCATCCTCAAAAGGGCTCTCTCAGCCCCACCTACCTCGCAGGGTGTCTGTTGTGGGGAGGGGAAGGGAAAGGAGAATGTAAGCTACTCTGAGACTCCTTGGGGTACTGAAGGGTGGGGTATAAATTTTTTAATTTATTTATTTATTTATTTTGGGATTTATATCCCGCCCTACCCGTCTCTTCTTCTTCATTGGGCCTGCCAACACCTTTTCTGGTGCCCACTCCAGTGTTCTTAGGAAGCAGGCAGGACCAACTTCTGATTGGCCATTAAAATTTTTAAAAACGTTTGTTTTGGCAGCAGCTGCCATCATAGCACAAGGATCATCACTGTATGACTGAAGACGAACTGTGGCAGCCATTTTGTAGCTGGCTCCACCTCCTGCAACAGCCATTTTGTGGCTATGCCCATCATGCTGTGTCAGAATTCCAAAGCTGTTTGCAGACTCTAGAGGGTTGGGGGACCCACAGTCAAACACATCTTTCATAGTCATGAAGTTGATGGGATGGGTTAAGTCTGATAACACCTTTTAAAACGGATTTGGCATCGAAGAACCAAATAACTTAAACGGTTAAAGAAAGGTTAATGGGATGATAGCCTCTTAAAACATTAGGTTGCAATATTTTTTACATGCCAACGAAGACTTTACTCTTCTATAGAACGACCCAGCAGCACATGAAAACTTCTTGAAAATAAACCGAGCTTACGAAGTGTTAAAAGATGAAGATCTGCGGAAGAAGTATGATAAGTATGGCGAGAAAGGTCTAGAAGATCACCAGCAAGGAGGTGGATACGAAAGTTGGCACTATTATCGCTACGATTTCGGTAAGAGTGTCTTGTACCCTGCAAGCAGAACAGAGTTATTACATCCTGTTTTCCTTGTAGAGGACTAATGCAACCTTCAAGGAAACACAGGGGGAATAATTCGGCAAAGATATAATGTGGCTTGAGCTCACTGGTTTCAGTAAGCTTTAGTGTTCTTAACGTTGTGTTGGATTGTGACCAATGAACAGCACAGTATTCAGTGTGTACTTGGCTTTCTTAATGGATTTAGTTCTTGGGAACAGGACATTCTTTGTTCCCAATATGTTTAAATAACTTCCTGTTTGCTTTCAGCATTAGGGTTCTGGGACTTGCTTCTGGTATCTTTTTAATAGTCATCACCTTGGGAAACCATTTTCTAAATTAATCTTTACTTCTTAATATTTTGGTGCACAGATGGCCAGCTGGTAACACATAGTACGCACCTGACTGCAAGGTTATTTTGTCTGACCAGTGAGGATGCTTCTGCTTCATCACTTGGCTTACCTGTTTGAACCTCTTACCTCTCTCATCATCCATTTTGTATAGCTATTTATTTATTTATATTTATGTTTGGATTTATATCCCGCCCTACCCTGAAGGCTCAGGGCGGCTGAAGGGATTCACTCCTAGTCTTTCTACCTTTACTCTTATTCTTACATGGAGAATTCACACGTCAAACATTCATGGCAGAATTCACACCAAACCTCTCCGCCTCTGCTCCTTCACACACACCCCGTCCTGCTTCCCCAAAAGAAGAATTCACAGTATGATTTCTCTTTGCATAGCTATCTGAAGAAGTGAGCTGTAGCTCAGAAATGCTCATGTTGACATTACATGTGGTTAGTTTGTAAGGTACCACTGGACTTTTGTTCAATGAAAACTGAATGAAATTCAACTTCCCTGAGGAACTGAGCTCCAAAGGTTCTCCTGTTTGAACACCTTGAGAGAGATGAAGTGTGGGATAAATTTCCAGCTGCCTCACTTCCTCTGGAGTGGTTTAGCACCAAAGAAGCTGAAATAAAATGTTTAGCAGTTGAGACAAAAGAGAGAAGATTCTCTCTACTGCTCAGTACATCAGCTGAAAATATTGTGCTGAGATTTTACTTCCCACTAAAAGAAACTGATGATTTTAAGTGGGGAAAACTGCAATGAAGTATTACAGCTCTGAAGTCAGAATGTTAACTGAAATTTGAGTTTAATTCTTACACACTGTCAATAAACTGTTTTCAACTCCCAAGTTTCTCTGTTCAAAGATATTCAGAAGTTGCTGACAGATTTCCCCCCCTACTGGGACTTTCTATCCCAAAATGTCCTACTTTTCTATCATTGTCACCATTGGTTATATACTTGAAAATACCAAACTAAAAATATCCATGTGAAGGAACAGTCTCAAGCCCTGTTCCTTCGGGGTCCTATAAGGTCAGAAAAGCCCCACTGTAGTCCCAGTTCACCTCTCAGTGAAGCCGTCCTTTCTCTTAGTCCTAGGGGGTTACCAAAAACAAACAACATAGTAACCACTGCCACCAGCAGTTCTTGATAGTATCTCCTGTTAGATGGAGTTGCACATTTAATACCCTAAAAATGTGTTGCCATTTAGAAGCATTTCCTTTTTGCCGCACCTCCTGCTTCACTCTTACAAGCTCATGAGGAGACAGTTGTTGCAACATTACAATATCAAGCTTTCTGTCTCACTCAAGGGATGGCGAGCTTACCTGCTACACCTCCAGTTACCACACTTTGGATACCGAGACCAAATAGATGTGTGTAAACAGAGATCAGGCTTCAAGCTTTCAAAATACAAGGAGGTTTAATGAACAAAAATAAAAAAGAGTACGCATGGTCAGCATCAGGCTGAGCAAGAATACAAAGAAAAGGTGAAAACATGGATTCCTATCAGCCTACACTTGGTACTTTTGGTAAATGATAGTGAACTAGGGCCCCGTTCACACGGAGCATTTGCCATGCTAAAGATATGGATGATAGGCGGATTTTCTGGGCACGATCACACCGCAACAACTGGGAAGCGTAGTGCTCCCGTGGCTAACTCGTGGCTTCCCGCCAATGATTCGGAGTAAAAAACTAGTACTTATGATGTACTGGTTTCTGGAAAACGCGGGGCAAGGGCGGGCATCTGATCGCATTTCCGCTGGAATCCCGTGGCATCTGGCGCCCACCCATGTCCCCTTGCAAACCAGATTTTTTTTTAAGTCCCCACAGGATGCGCACAAACGATCATGCACATGCGCGAACTTTGGTGAGACAAACAAAAAATCCCGTTTGCCACAGAAGCAGCGCAGCGCGATTGCTGGTGTGAATACGCCGTGCTGCTTCTTTGCCGCGCTGCAGACTAGCCGTCTGATCGGCACCTAACGCCTAACCACGGGACCTTGACAAGGACGTCTGATCGGGCTACCATGCATTACTTTGTTCCGGGGCAAACAGTCACGCTCCCCCCCCCCACATTTTCCAGCCCGTGTGACTGGGGCCTAGGATAGGCAAACAAATCTTGAAGCTACAATCCAGTTAAAAATACAGCATTACTTTCACTCTCAGAGTTGGGTCTTCTTCTTCCTGCCCCAAGAGGAGGAGAAAACTATCTAGCTATTTGGCTACCCATACCTCTTGCACTCTAACCACTGCACAATACTGACTCTGAATAATAAGGATGTTTCATCTTAAACTCATACCACAAAGCAATAATTGATTCTTTGACTTAAATTTTATCTGCGGAGTTTAAAATTTTTTTTTAATGTTGATCTAAGTTGTTTTGTTTTGCTAGGGATTTATGATGATGATCCTGAAATCATAACACTGGACAGAGGAGAGTTTGGTAAGTGATGGAAGTCATGCGCCTGAAATTTTACTTCAGGGTTTTCCAAGTAGAGTTTTTTGCTTTTCAAACTGTACCCGGAGGTAGACATGCCAGACACTGCAAAATGTCAGCCAGAGCTGTGTACATATTTGGTGTTTAGAGATAACATCAGGTTGTCTTTGACTCCATTTAACCATACAAATTTGTAGGGCTAAGCGACTGTTTCAACCTGAACCAAAAACTACTAGCTCACATCCCCATGAAGAAAAGAGTTATTTGCCTCCTAGTTCTCTGAATCTGCAATGATAATTCTTTGCCTGGTTACAAAAAGCATCTCTTGTTAGAAGGATTCATTCTCCAAGCAAAGAACTGTTATTACGGTACAGTCATAGGGCTTTTTCCTGATTGGAGAAAATGCTTGGTGGTGCGAGTTCTGGACTGAAATTATGATCCTGTAATGGTCTTTTAAATCTCTGTAAAAGCCAGATTTCTTAGTTTTGCTCCTGGGGAAGCAATTTGCAGGTACCAAGTGCTGGCATTGTGTTCGCACACTCCCTTTCATATTTGACCAGGGTATCTGCAGCCTTTAATGTGTGTACTTAGTAAGATAACAACAAGCCTGTACATATAGCAAAGATCCTCCCATTGCTGGCATTTAGACCTTTGGGAGGCTGTATGCTTTTCTTTACCATTATGGCATTTTAGATTAACTCAGTGCAACATCCAGTCTTGCATAAATAATAATGTTCAAGTGGTAGCAAAGAAAAGTAGCCACAGACCACCTGCTGTAACTCTTTGCTGCTGAACTATTTAAGGGTGATTTTTTCATTTATTCACTATCACTTGTTCGATTTTTTTACTGATAAACGGGGACGTGAACCCGGTCTTGCTACTCCACTCCACCACACTACAGGATGTGTGTGTCAGAATAGCAGCATAATGCGGCATCTTTTCCCTCCCTTCCTCCGTTTATTTCAAATACGATATAAAATTGCTTTAAGATATGCACATGTACGCATTCAAAAGATCTGAGCAAATTGGTATGAAAATATGTGGGCGTTGGGATGCAGAACCAGTCTCTTGTTGCTGGGCAACAAGAAACTAAGAAGGCGGCTTCATTCCCTGTGCGCTCCTTAGGAAAGTTTCTGGATCTATGAAATTATAGCTGTAGGGACTATGGTCCCCCACGCTCCCAGATTTCCTTCACCTCTGCAAACCCAGCCTCGTTAGTCTGTTTGTCAAATGCGCTGGGAATCTCGTTTATGATGGCTTTTTCTTTGAAATATTGGGCGTTATTGCCATCTTTGTGATGCTGATTTCACTAACAGCACTTAGCCAGCATTGTTAGTGGGGTTGCCAATACTGGGTAGGGAAATTCCTGGAGATTTTGGGGTGGAGCCTGGGGAGGGTGGGGTTTCAGGAGGACTTCAACAGCATATAATGCAGCACAGCCCACACTCCAAAGCAGCCATTTGCTCCAGGGGAATTGCTCTCTGTAGTCTGTAGTTCGGGGAGATCTCCAGGCCCCATGTGGAGGTTGTACAAAAACTGAGGGTCACAGGGTTAAGAAGAAGTGAAAAATATATGATACTATGTATAATAGATGTATGCTTAAGGTAGATCTATTTTGTGCTTTTTAATTTATTTATTTTTAATCTATACTGTTATATAAAGATTAGTGTCAAGTATTACCAAACATAGGTTCACCAAAACAATGCATCAAAGTGCAGGTTTGCACTGTGTTCAAACATTCAAACAGCACCTTGAAGAATTTCAGACAGACGATATAATCCGGAAGAGGAACGGTTCCCAAACGGTTTCTGGTCTGTCATTTCAGACAGAACCGTTTTACAACCGGTTCCCTACCGGAATATATTTGTAATTTCACATACAAACGCTTCTGTCCCGTTTAGGAAACGGTGCTGAAGCGTTTTACCTGTCAACCACTTCCAAGTAGTCTTCAGTTTCCTCTCCCGGTTCGGATGTGCTTTTTCCCACCGTTTTTCGCCCACGCGGGCAATCTCCAGCTTTTTTTTTTACGTTTGCGTTATAGCGCTATAACGTAACAGCATTATAGCAACCCCATTGGAATGCCTGGAGTGTAGTGTTATAGCGCTATAGTGCTCTAAAGCGAACGTTAAAAAAAAGCCAGAGATCCCTTGCACGGGTGAAAAACGGCAGGAAAAAGTGGTGCAGTCTGAAATGGCAAACCGCTTCAGATCCAACTCTTTACTGGAAGGGGAAAGCCATGTGTGAAATGGCAGCCGTATACCGGTTTACTCCACGGCGGATTAAAAACGGCTTCAAACCGGCTTCAAAAGGCTAATGTGAAATTCCTCATCATCATTTTCACAATCACTAGTCCCACAGGACTCTCTTAATTTATCCGAATCGAATATAATCTTTTTCAAGGACAGTGATATACATACAAGACATAAGGCACAATAAATTCTCTTTGTGAGTATAATACTCTTAAAATAGCAGCATTTTTCTAGGGTCCCATCAGAACCCTTGCGGCAAACGTAATTATTTATCTAGGAGAACATATCTCTCGAGTTCTATCAGGCAGCCGTGGAGGTTGGCAACAACTAATTGTTGATATGGTGAAGTACGAGCTTTCGTATCTGGCTCTTTAATGTCCAGGAAACTTGGTAAGCCAGCATCCAGGTCAGCCAGGCTTGCTTGCAGGGTTGGTGGATGGGGAGAAGAGACAACGAGCCACTGTGACCAGAAGAGTGAAGCCGTGTAGGGGGGGATTTGGGACTCAAAAAGGGAGGGCAGGGTTAGAGGGAATGGGGGGAGCTAGCAGCAAAGTCAGCCACTGGAAGAGTAAAGCTCCTGTGGGGGGCATGTGGAACATGAAAGGGGAAGCAGGCAGAAACAGAGCTAACAGGAATCCTGAAAACACCTCCATCCTTTCCTTGAATTATGGGACACCTGAAGAAGTCAAAGACACAAGCCTTTTTTTAAGGTGCAGGCCCAGTATCTCTCGGAATACTACCAGGGACAAGAACATCTCTGTGCTGCCATTTATTTGTGGAACTCACTGCAAGATATGCTGATGGTCAACTAGCTTAGCTGGCTTTAAAAATAAAAAAAATACTTAATTGTATCCTATCCTGTCTCAATAACATAACTTTGATCCTTCTTTCTCAACAGATGCTGCTGTAAATTCTGGAGAACTGTGGTTTATAAATTTCTATTCCCCTCGATGTTCACATTGCCACGACTTAGCACCGACAGTAAGTATAGATCAGTGTCATTGGAACATGTGATATTTTCCTCCGGAATCGTAGAGAGCCCTCTCCTATGAAATCTGCAAGAAGCTGAACCGGAGGTCTTGAAAACATGGTGGCAAATATTGCCCCCCCCCCCCCCGCTGGGCAGTGGCAAATTTATCATTTCATGGGATTTTTATCAGCTAGCCATTCATCTTGAGTCAGCCAAATACTCCGAATTGAGTGGGAACCATCGAAATTTTCCACTGATGGGTGGGCATTTTCTCTAATTACCATCTCCTACAGCAGACTCCCATCCCCCCTCTCCTGCTGTTCCGGGGGGGTCCCTTGTCTCCTAGGAGCAGCAGTTTGAGGGGGGCATTTTGGGGCTGCTGTGGGAGGGGAAGCAGTGGAAACCCCCCCCCCCCAGTACCAAATTTGCATGCTGGAGGGTAAGAGAATTGTATAATTCTATGCAATGTGTTTTTAAAAAGCAAGCATTCGTTTTTTAAAAAAAATCTTCCAATCCTCGTTCTTTTTTCTTTCTTTTTTTAAGTGGAGAGAATTTGCTAAAGAAATGGATGGATTAATACGCATTGGAGCTGTAAACTGTGGTGATAACAGGATGCTTTGCCGACACAAAGGGATCAATAGCTATCCAAGCCTATATGTTTTTAAAACCGGAATGGTAAGTAAGCAAATGGTAGTCCTTGTCTAGCATCCCTTTCTACAGGAAAAAGAGTCTTCTTATTCTTTATTATTCATTTGGGGTATTGGTGTTCTTCCTTCAGGAATGCATAGTTGTACGGGGATGCCCCAGGCAAAGTGACATCATTAGCAGCCACTGTTTTGTATAGAACATTAGTAATAAGACTCTTCTGCAGAAACTGCTATCCAAATAGTGTAGTTTCTTAATCCTTTAAACGCCTTTTTAATTCCTAATTTTCCACTGGAAAGCAATGTTACATTGTTAGGTTTTTAGCCGCTTAGGGAGATAAATTCCAGGATTTCTTGAAGTTTATTATGAAAGCTGTTTGTATGTGACTGTGATTATGTACCTTGACACATTTATGTCTATTTTATGTACCTATTTTATCCCCCTTTGGTATCCTCTTGGTCAAGACTTCGGTCATATAGACCTGTAATAAATTGAATTGTACTTAAAACTAACATTTCAGCTCATCTGAACAGACAGATCTGTGTACACAGATAATACAAATCAGTTTGCTTAGAATTGATTGACACGTTATTTTACAATTGACATCTTTCTGCCCCCCTTTGTAGAATCCAGCAAAATACCACGGGGACAGGTCAAAGGAGAGTTTAGTGAATTTTGCCATGCAGTTTGTTACGAGCACAGTGACAGAATTATGGGCAGGTAAACTTTTAATCAATTAATGTCAAATTATTGTTCATCAGCTGTCTGGAATGAGATAGTGGGGGAGGTATAAACGAACCCTGTCTATTCCCCTCTAATCTTCATCAAAATGAAGATAAAATTGCAGTGCTGTGGTGTCAAAGCAGTGTAAGAAGCAGTTTATTCAAAGCTGCGTAAGTGTAGACTGCCTGTTTGTTTGTTTTCTTCCAGGAAATTTTGTTACTGCTGTAGAAACTGCGTTTGCTTCTGGCATTGGCTGGTTAATCACTTTTTGCAGTGATCGTGGAGGTAAATACATGCTTTTGTTCCTTGTGATTAGTTAATATTACAGACAGAACTTCGTTACTCTGACATCCGAACGTCAAACCTGAGGCACTTGCAGTGGAAGATAAGACAGGAAGGATATTAATGCATTGCTGCTGTTAGGAGCAGCGTAAAGATAAGAGCTGTCATGATTTCCCCCCTGAATACATTAAAAGTTCTAAAATGAACTGATGCCAGGATGTGATCAGCATGTTACTTTATGAGAAGCACCACCACCACCCCCCGCTGCTCCAGCAGAACGGGCTTTTCCGCCTTCTCATTTTGTTGTTGTTCAGTCGAACAGTCGAGTTCGACTCTTCGCGACCCCATGGACCAGCTCCCGCCAGGCCAGTTCTCATTTTACTTGCTGTTAAGTTCCTGTTTCTTCTGGGTATTTTGTTCCACATGTGTTTTGCTCCCTCCAGTGACTGATTCAATTTAGACTGCAAGGAGATAAACTGGAAATAAAGGTGTTTGGTGTCAAGTCGACCACTAGAGGGAGCAAAACATGTGCAGAGGGGGAGGGGACTCGAGTAAGATGAGAACGCGGAAAAGCCCAGTGTCCCTCAGCTGTTGTTTCGCTGTCCTCCCTGGCCTCAGATTGGGCTGTGGAGGAGGTTGGCTCACCTGCTTTCTTCTGTGCCCTGGTTTGGGGGGTAGGGGGGCCGACCCGGCCCAGGCAAATCTGGGATGGCCGCCAATCCCAGACATTTTACATATATGTATCATCTGACAGAAAGAAAGCAGATTCCTTTGAAATGTGGTTGGAGGGGGAGTTTTATGGATACCGTGGACTGGCAAAAAAGCCAAATAGGTGGGTCCTAGACCAAACCAAGCCTGAACTCTCCCTAGAAGCTAAAATGGCTAAACTGAGGCTATTGTACTTTGGTCACATTATGAGAAGACAAGAGTCACTAGAAAAGACAATAAGGCTAGGAAAAGTGGAAGGCAGCAAGAAAAGAGAAAGACTCGGAATGAGATAGTTTGACTCAATAAAGGAAGCCATGGCCCTCAGTTTGCCAGACCTGAGAATGGCTGCTAATGATATCCGTTTTGGATAACCTTTAATCATATAAATAAATCGGAAGTGACTTGACGGCACTTAACACACACACACACACACACACACGTCTTCTCACAGAATGTTTGCTTTGTGAGAATTTTTCAGATATCACAAAATCATAGAATTGGAAGGGACCTCCAGGGTCATCTAGTCCAAGCCCCTGCGCAAGGCAGGAAATTCACAGATACCTCCACACCCACATTAACCCCTGTTCCATGCCCAGAAGATGACAAAAAATCTCCAGGATCTCCGGCCAACTGGCCTGGAGAACAATTGCTTCCTGACCCCAAAGTGGCAATCGGCATTTCCCTGGGCGTGTCAGAAAGGGCCACGAGAACTAAGCACTGAGGCAATCCTTCCTGCCCTCCCTCTCACAACACAGTCCTAAACACTGTTACACCCTCCAAAGCACAAAGGCATTAACTCGGTTTAGGATTGCCCTGTGAAAACCGTATCGTATTTTCCATGCAGGTTATAAAGCTCTACCCCAGGCCCATAGCACCCACGGGGCCTTAGCCTCCCTCAAAAAAAAAAAAAAATCAAGTGCCGAGCCAAGGTTTCTGGCTGGCTCTCGTGCTCCCTCCTTTTTCTCCTTCTGCAGTGGTGCTGCTGGCGGCTCCTCGCTGGGTCGGAGCGGGCATGAGGAGTGGAGCCGGTGGTGCCAGGGAGACAAAGGGGGCTGGATGGCGGGCGATGAGGGGGGACACACAGAGGCTGGGAGGGAGGGGAGGAGGGTGGCAGGCAGGGCGGGGGCTTGACCCGCACAAAGGCTCAGGGGGTGGCAGATGTGAGGCGGCTCCGCAGGGCTCGGTCACCGGGCCATGAGGGTGTCACGCTCCGGGCCGCAGGGAGAGGGGCTCCCTAGGCGCCCTGCAGACAATACAGCCGGGTCCCTCCTGCTCAGAACCTGCCCTGGTGGCCAGTCGCTGAGAGAGGTGGAGAGAGAACACCCCGACGCACCCGTAAGACCCAAGGGTTCGTCCGCGGTGCCAGGGCTGTCCCTGCTGTTGGTGGTGGCGCTCTCCTCCCCCCTCGGTTGCAGCCAGGGCTGCCTTAGGAGTCCCAGCAACTAAATCGAAGTTCATTTAATTAACTTTGATTGGCTGGTGGGGCCCCCCGGCCCCCTCCCCCAAAACTCCTTCGCTACGGGGCTGCTCTACCCCTGTCCTAATGGAAACCTTGAAAGAAAGATGAATCCATCCTTTCCCCCACCTGAAATTAGGATTAATCGCCAGCCTTCTAAAAAGATGTGATGGCCCACAGAAGAAATTTAAAAAGAAACAAAAGTCAGAGGGAAAAACCTTCACTGACTTTTTCAGTTGTGTCCAGCAGAAAATGCTTTATTTATTATTTGAATTTATATCCCACCCATCCCGTGGGCGGGCTCAGGGGGGGTAACATCATTCAAATAAATACAATTTCAGTTTAAAACATTAAACACTAAAACACAATAAAACATTATAACAATTAAAACAATAGGTACAGCTTGGAACAGCGTCAGTTGGCTATAAAGTTCTGGTCCGATGGTACAATGAGTTAAAGGCCAGTTTCCGGTGGTCAGTGGACAGGTGACAGACGGGTGACGACAACCTCAGGGAGGCCATAGATGGGTGCCCCGCTGCCTCAGCCAAAGGCCTCCAGGAAGAGCTCCGTATTGCAGGCCCTGCGGAATTGAAGGAGATCCCGCAGGGCCCTGGTCTCAATAGGGAGCGTGTTCCATCCGGCTGGGGCCAGGACAGAGAAAGCCCTGGTTGAGGCAAGATGGGCGTCCCTCGAGCCAGGGACCACCAGGAGGGGCTGATCTTTTGAGCGTAACACGGTTTGAGGCATACATGGGAAGAGTTTAACACAAACTCTACTTGCTCAAAATGTATCATATGAAGAGTTTTATATAAAACAATCTCTAGGATTACAGAATAATTCTTATATACATTGCAGACATACACATTATATTTCCAAGGAGGAGTTTATCGTTTAAACGTGAGGAATATTTGTTCTCCCCTTGGCGTCAAAATGTCTAGCAGTAGAGAAGAGCAAGAGCCCAGGAGCACCGTAAAGGCTAAGGAGATTTGTTGCAGAGGAGGCACTTTCGTGAGTCACTGGTCACTTCTTCAAATCTGAAGTGAACAGTGATTCACAAAAGCTCATACCCTGCCACAAATTTTGTTAGTCTTTAAGGTGCTTCTGGACTCTTGCTCTTTTCTACTGCTGTGGACAGGTTACCATAGCTTGATCTATCTTCAAAATTTCTAGACATTTTACACCTCTCGCTTGCTTCATATTGGGACAGAATTAACGCACACATACTTTGGAGATTTTCAAACAGGGGCTAGATGGCCATCTGACAGCCATGCTGATTGTGTGAACTTAGGCAGATCAAAAGAGGGAGGGCAGGAAGGGTTTCCTCAGTGCTTAGTTTTTGTGGCCCTTTCTTATGCACCCAGAGAAATGATGATTGCCACTTTTGGGCCAGTTTGGGCAAGGATCCTGGAGGTATGTTGTCATCTTCTGGGCGTGGAACAGCAGTCACTGCAGTTGTGGAGGAGGAGGTGTTTGTGAATTTCCTGCATTGTGCAGGGGGTTGGACTAGATGACCCTGGAGGTCCCTTCCAACTCCATGATTCTATACTATTCGCTGTTAGTTAATACTGTTTTTTCGTTAGGCAAGCATGAAGTCTTTCCTGGCTGCCACTGAAAATCCCCTTGTTAATCTGGAGAAGCAGTGAAAGGAGAAATCCCCACACTAGTGCCATTTTCAGATGTATTATCTTGGCTGCCGCCAGTGTAGTGGTACAATCCTAGGACATCTTTTCAACTTTTCCAGTGGGGAAAAAAAATTGAGACCTTTTGGAGCACTGGAAAAAGAAGCCTCCAGTCCAGTGAAATATTTTATTCCTTTGAAATGAATGCTTTTTAAAAGTCTGGACTGCTATTCCAATAAATATTTTGGAGAGCACTGACAAAAATTCCTATGAAATATATATTTTCTTACAGGATGAGTGACACTTGCCAAAATAGCACAGGGAGCAGCAGTTTGCAGTCTTCCCTTTGCTTTAGAAGTGAGTGTAATTGCAGTTCTGCTTGCAAAAACTAAGGGATTTATCCTTTTAAATTTCATCAGTAGGCCAATTAATAGAAGTTTATGTGCTAGGAAAGACATAAATGATAGGAAAGTGAGTACTGCATATATTTGAATTCCCCTCCCCCCCAGAATGTATAGATTTTTAAACTCACTTGCCTTTAGTTACACTTGTACTAAACAGAATCGATTTGTAATTGCCTTGAGCCCCAAAGAGAAAGGCAGATTATAAATGAAAGCCATCATCATCTCTTATATTCTGGAAATACCCCGAACAATTGGTCAAACAGCCATATTCTGATAATGTTCGCAAACACACACACACACAACAATATGAATATAAACTTTGTAAGAAGGGATTGTTTCTCAGTTATTCATTACTCTCTTTCTCTAGATTGCTTAACTTCTCGAACACGCCTTAAATTGGCCGGCATGTTGGTAAGCATTATTTTATTTAAGGGGTTCTTAAATTGTGGGCACAGTTGAAGCTGCTGTATACTGAATACTGTATACTAAATCAGACCATTGTTCCATCAAGGCCAGTATTGACTACTCGGACTGGCAACAGCTCTCCAGGGTCTCAGGTAGACGTCTTTCTAGGCTTCCCAAGTCCCCCCGGGGGGCGGGGAAACCCCCGCCACAGAGGCCCGTTCCCCACCGCCGGGGGAACCCCACCCTGACGTGCGCGTTACCCGGAAGTGACACGACCACGCCGGGCTCGCTGGGGGCGGGCCCACGGTCATCCGAGAGAAAACTATGGTTTTCCCTTGGATGGTCGTGGCCCCACCCCCAGCGTGCCCGGCGTCGTCACGTCACTTCCGGGTGACATGCGTGCGGCGCGCGCTCCAGTCGCAGCGCAGGAGTCCCCGGTAAGGAGAAATTTCGACTTGGGAACCCTAGTTCTTTCATATCAAATACTGCCTGGTCATTTTAGCTGGAGATGCCGGGGATTGAACTGGGGACCTTCTGCATGCCAAGCAGAGGCTCTGCCATTGAGCCACAGCTCCTCCTCTGCTGAAGCAAAGCGCATCTAAGTCCCACTGACCTCAGGGATAAAGTGTAGAGTTGCCAACCACCTTTAATAGAGGCTTCCGTGTGGAAATGGGCTGCCGAAGCGTTTAATGATTTGGGGGTGTATAATATCACCTTGTATATAGCATCCCATTATGCCTCTATTAAAGGGAAAGGGCACATTGTCTACCGCCTGTTGGCTACCCTAGAAGAAGAAGAAGAAGAAGAGCGAAACTGATTTTTCTCTTAGACTTCGGTAGAACTTGAAAGGGCTTTTAACTTTGGTTGGAGGAGGGCTGCCTCTTTTACATATTTTTGAGGAAAAGGTTACCTCCCAGGAAATTTAAAGCATAAGTGGTGGAACTGCGTTGTGATTTGTTGATACCCTCAGGCACCAAGATGTGTGTGAGATGTCAAAAAATACTTCTGCCCTAGGGCTGCAAGCTCCAGGTAGGGAAATTCCTAGAGATTTGGGGTGGAGCCTGAAGAAGGTGGGGTTTGGGGGGAGGGACCTTAGCAGGATATGATGTCATAGACTCCACCCTCCAGAGTGGCCTTTTGTCCAAGGGAGCTGATCACTGTAGTCTGGAGCTCGGTTGTATTTCTGGGAGATCTCTGGGCTCCACATGGAGGTTGGCCACAGTAGTCAAGCTTGTCATGTCTCCATCTGGTTTAATACGTTTTTATTTCTTTTGTCATCATTGTCTTGATACAGGAAGGCCTTGTTAATGTAGGCTGGATGGACTGTGCCACCCAGGGTGAGCTTTGTGATAATTTGGATATCTCATCTAGCACTGCAGCGTACTTTCCACCTGGAGCCACCTTAACTAATAAAGAGAGAGGAAGTGTTTTGGTATGAGTTGTTTTACAATTGGCTTGCATTTACGTGCACTGATGTGATGGTGGTGGTGGTGAAGGACGGTGTGGAATATAAATATTTCTTCTTTCCTAGTCGACTTTGCTTTTTGCTCAGTTAATTTGCACTTTGTATGAAGTGAATGTGCTGGGCGGTTCTTTTGTTTTATTTTTATTGATGTTTAGCAGCCCTTCAGGAGACCTCTAATCACATATGTGTACTATAGGCCCGGAGAGGGCAGAGTTTATACTTCTGGGAGCTACTTAACTTTTTTTTCCAAGAGCCTTGGTCACAAAATGGCAGATCAGTGGGTAGAGCTAGCCACAAAATGGTAGCTTGTACAAAAATTACAGTGTTTCAGAGCAGGTCTGTTATAAGCAGCAGAGGTTGGATGTGTGGCCAATGTCTCTAAAGGAAGAGTGCTCTGCTGCTGTCTTAATAGAAACTCAGAAATTTGTTTCAGATATATTGCTTCTCACTCTTTAAAAAAAAAAAAAAGACCTTTAAAAAGGCATGGTCTAGCCAGAATTAAGCACTTCTCACTTATGTAGGCATTGGTGAAAAGGTGTATGCAGGCACTACAATATGCCCCATCAAAGCCTATAAGAATCAATCACTTTAAACTCTGCCTGTCCAAAGTTCTTAGCTGCTGATCCTCTTTCCTTATCTAAAATGGAATATTATTTATTTACTTTTTTGTTTTAAAATTTGATTTCTAAACTACCCTCCCCCATACCGGGGCTCAGGGCGGTGTACGACATTCAAGAGATGCAATCATAGCATTTAAAACAAGATTAAAACAATAAAACAGGTACAGTAAAATGTTCTGATTAAATTGCTTTGATCAGCTATCCCAACTATTATGAGCATTATAAAGCACTGACTCTTGAATGCTGTCTTTTTCTTATTATTAGGAAACAGAGGGTGTATTTCACTTAAGGAGTGGAGGGGGGAAAGACTTGAATCACCTCTGGCAAGCAATAACTAGCACTGCTTCAAGGGCTCATTTGTGGCAAACACTGGATACACACTCCTGTGGATTTTCATAGCAGTCTTGTGTATGGTGCATCCAGGCCCACCACAGTAGACAGTTCTGTGTCTTTTTTTTTTTGTCTAAAAGTTAGAATCATAGAATCACAGAGTTGGAAGGCCATCTAGTCCAACCCCCTGCTCAATGCAGGATCAGCCCAGAGCATCCCTGACAAGTGTTTGTCCAGATGTTGCTTACAGACTGCCAGCGAGGGGGAGCTCACCACCTCCCTGGGCAGCCGATTCCACTGTGGCACAACTCTTGACTGTCAAAAAAGGTTTTCCTAATATCCAGCCGGTACTGTTGCAGAAAGCCAGCCTTGATCTGCAAAGAGGCTCTGAAGGACATGAGCAAACTCTGAAAATAAATAGGAGGAGCTTCACTGGTTCTCGTGATTCATTCTTGCCCCTGGAGTGGTGCTGCTTGTTCCTTTCTCCTTCGTGAAACCATCTTGGGGGGGGGGGGGGATGGTGCAAGAAAGAGGAGCATACCAGTGCCAGAATGCCTCTCACTTGCATGCTCCCTTCTCACCCAGAGTAATTTTGAGAAGCTCCTGAAGTGCTTTGAGGGATGGGAAAGTGACAGGATGAATAAGCAAGGCAGTTGGGGGGGGGGCGCGAATGTGGCTTGTACTTCGTTTTTATTCACCTTCTTGAGTCACTCAAGATAGTGCGGTGACCATGTCCTGAAATATTGTATCGGCTAATCTAGGTGGCGGTGGCTATTTTAAAAGCTAGTATAAATAAATGTACCATATAAAACTCAAAACGATGTATTTTCCCCCCACCAGTTCCTGAATTCTTTGGACGCACGGGAGATATATCACGAAGTCATGCAGCACCTTCCAGGCTTCGAAATGATCCCTGCAGCTACATTAAAGGTAAACGGGCAGCAAAGGCATCAGTGAGCATTCTAATCTTGATTCTGAAGGCAGGACACTATCAGCCGGAATACTTTCCATTCGCTATCTGGTTCAGGGCTTGTTTTCCCTACTGGGACATTCCATCAACAGATGCAGGCTGCATTACAGTCATGGATTAGATTGAGATTTCGCAGCCATTATTATGTGCAAGAATGTGGTGACATCAGGGGCCCGGCGGTGAACCTGCAAGGCCAGCGGGAGTGCGAGGAAGCCCCGCGAAGGCCCTCCCTGGCCCCAGGCAGGCAGGGGTGGGGAGAGGCGGGGAGGAAGCAACTTACCCTCCCTCTTCTCCTGCCTCCTCCTGGCTGAATGAGGGCTGGAAGCGGGGCGGCTGGAAGCAGGGGGCGGGGCTTTGTCATGTGCCCCACCTCCCGCACCTCACCCGAACTGCGATCCCCCCCCCCCCAATCGACCTCTGCTTGTTCTATTTATTTATTTATCAGAGCCTGCTCCCTCTTCCCTGAATGGGATCGAAGGTGTCTAACAACATATAAAATGCATCTGATAAAACAGCACAAAAGATACAATAAATAAACTTTACAATAAATAAAATAAAGTTCCTGGGAGTGATCTGGCCAGCTGTGTTCTGGACCACTTGCCGAAGCATCGTCAAAGGTAGCCCTGTGTAGAGCATGTTACAGTAGTCCAGTCTCAAGGGGACCGATGTGTGAAAGTGGCAAGGTGTGCCCGAGACAGATAGGGAGCCAGTTGGCGGGCCTGGCAGAGATGGTAAAATGTGGTCTTTGTCACCAAGGACACATGTTTGTCCATGGAGAGCAAAGAATCAAGCCACACACCCCAGGCTCCTGACAGAGTTGACCGTAGAAAGTCGGTCCTCATCAAGGGTCAGTAGAAGTGGCCATCCCAGTGGCCCGGCCTTCCCCAACCACATGATCTCTGTCTTAGATGGATTTAGCTTCAACCTGCTCTCAACTAGCCAATCCACCTTGCAGGCAGGCAGGAGGCCAAGACTGGAGTTCCAGCCACTAGTTACTCCTCAAATAACAGGCAGAGCTGGGTGTCATCTCCATACTGATGGCAGCCTACTCCAAACCTCCTGACAATCTCCGCCAAAGGGCACATATAGATGTTAAATAACATTGAGGAGAGAATCTGCCTCTGCAGAACTCCAGAAGTTAGGGTCCATGGTGATTACCTCTCTCCACCCATGATCACCCTCTGGGGCCAACCCTGGAGAAATGTGGAGAATCAGCTCAGGTCTGTACTTTCATTGTTCCACCTCACTGATTCTGAGCACACAGTGTGCCCAGTTCTTAGAACTCTTCTCCGTATGAGGCCTTCTTCCCTAACCCAGTCTCTTGGAACCGTCCAGAAAATGGCAAGCACATTTTATCCCACGAAACTGATGGATCTGTGCGGTCTGTACTGTACTAATTTTATGCTGTTTTATGGACTGCTAAGTGTTTTGGGTTTTTTTGCTTTTGTAATTATACTGTTTTGATTTGCATTTTGTAATCCACCTTTGGTCCAATACTAAATATGCGTAACAGGGAGTATTGCATGAGAGAAGTTTGTTGTTGCTGGATTTTTACCTAGTCAGGGAGTGCTGTGCCTACTCAGATTGTGTGTGTGTGTATATATATAGGGTGACTATCATCACAAATTTGCTCTGAAGCTCTTCTGATTCAAAACATGGGAATATGGATTCTTCAGCAAAAATATATACTAGCTTTCTTTTAGGGTACCAATTAAGATGAAGTTTAGCAGTTGAGGTTTGAGCAAGGAAAAGGTTCCTTGGATTTCTTTTTTTTCTACCCAAAGAAAGAGTTAAGTTCCTCTGTTTTACCAGAATGAGAAGTTGTATACACAACAAATTCACTGTCTATGAAATGCCTTGAGAATTTTCTGTTCAGTTTCTTACTGGCTTTATGTTCTGTTTCTTCTTTGTTTGATTTATTCAACTTCTTGTTTGATTTCTGGGTAGAAAGATAGTTGTACTGGCACCCTGAGCAATGAGGTACTTTTTCTTATGGACGTGAATAAATTCCTGGATTTGTCACATCTTGTTAATACTTTCCTTTTGGAAGGACCATGTTGCCCACCACCGATGGCTGATATTTTTCCTCTTCGGCGAGAGCGGCAAGTCTAATGACCACGACTTTAAAAAGCTAAGTTTTCTACTTAAAGCAGAACACATTCAGGTAAGAATGGGAGAATGTAGACAGTCGAGGCTTCCGGGGTTCGGCTTGTTTTGTTCTGAGTCTACTTTGTATTATTAAGCGCAGTACTTACTTGGGGCCCTGGAGCTGTGGTGGCTCAAGTGGTTAAGATGCTGAACTGCAGGCTGTGGAAGGTCAGTAGTTCAGCAGTTTGAGACCCGGGTGCCCCATGACGGAGTGAGCTCCCATCTCTAGTTCCAGCTCCTGCCAACCTAGCAGTTCGAAAGCAAGAAATTGCAAGTAGATAAATAGGTACCACTTTGGTGGGAAGATAACAGCGTTCTGTGCGCCTTGGTGTTTAGTCATGCCGGCCACATGACCACGGAAATGTCTTCGGACAGCGCTGGCTCTTCGGCTTTGAAACGGAAATGAGCACCGCAACCCTAGAGTTGGACTCGACTGGCTTTCGAGCAAGGGAACCTTTACCTTTACTTCCTTGGGGAGACAACAACATCCACAAAGCACGCCCTCCCCCCCCAAGGCTTTGAAGATGTTGCCTTTTTTTCTAACATGATTCATTCAGAACCTCATTATTTTCCAACTTTCCTCCTCCTTGTCTGTGCTGTTGCAGCCACGCTTGTCTGGAGCGCACTTTGAAAGGGAGGACAGCATGGCTGGAGTAAGACTCGACTTAGCGATCTTCTCCCATGTTGCTTCCCTGCAGTTCTTTAACCTTCCGGTTGGGAGGGGCGGGGCACACGGTGCGTAGGTGTATGCACAAAGCGGTCATCAGCAACAGCAGGGGGGCAACCACCTTCCCTTTTACACCTGGGGATGCATCCTGAGGAATTTGCTAATTGCTTCTCCTGGACTTCCTCCTGAAATGTCAGAAGTATAACAGGGGCGATGCCGAGAGCTCTGCCTTCCTCCCCCAGGTGTTTTATAGATACTGTGATTTTCCTCCCCGCAAAGCTTCTTGTACTTGAGCCCTCCTTTCTGTGCCAAGGGCACCATCCCACTTGTTTTCGGAAGTAAAATCAGACAACCGGAAACAGAAAGAGGGGAAGAAACACTTAACCCAAGCAAGTTGAATTAAGAAACCAAAAGGTTAATTACCACAGATATGAGGGCCAAGTAATGTCAATTAAACATAAGTACGTGTATTTATTACAAATTAGATAAAAACAGATACAGGCCCAATAGTAGCCTCAGAACAGGATGAAATCATGCATAGGTATCAATCAGAAAACATATGTGTCCAAGACCCATACATATTTCAGCCAATTCAGCCTTCCTCAGGGGTCAAACATATACATTGCACATTAGCTCCAAGTAATGCAATGGATACTGAAAATAGGACCAGTCGAAATGGCTTTATAAGAAATCTCAGTGACTTTAAATACAGAGGCCTCCTTTTCAAATACCTTCTCCCCTGGTCATCTACTTTTGTCTTCAATTATGTGTCTTTCTCTCTTGGTCCAAGGAAGGTGTATTCTCATGCAATTTGGAGCCAATAGCAAGTGAAAGTGTGTTATGTTTTTAAATTGACATTATTTGGCCCCTATATTTGTGGTAATTAACCTTTTGGTTTCTTAGTAAAATCAGACAAAACTTAGATAGTATGGTTATCGGTCCAAATAGTCCAGCACTTGGAAGCTAAGCAGGGTCGGTCGCAGTTAGTACTTGGATGGGAGACCACCCAGGAAGACTGGGATTGCCATGCAGAGAAAGGCAATGGCGCCTCTGTTCATACCCCGTGGTCCTGGGGTTGCCATGAGTTGGCTGTGACTCAGAGCCAAACCAATGTTGTTGTTGTTGTTGTTGTTGTTGTTGTTGTTGTTTAGATACTCTGATTATGTTTCCTCTAAATATATTGGGGTGGTGGGCAATGCTCCCTCTAAGCTGTGGAGTCTTGTGAGCAACAATTCTGCTTTCTGAGCTAATGGCATTCAAGTTGTGAGCCAGCGATTTGGCTACTGCATACATCAGTTTGCTCTGGGGCCCTCCTTCCTGAGCTAAGACAAAAATTTGTGAGCCAGAGGCTAAAAAACTGTGAGCTAGCTCACACTAACTCAGCTTAGAGGGAACACTGGTGGTGGGTCATCCAAGGACTCTTGCTCCAGCTTAAGTGGAAGAGGTCTTGAGGCTAGAGGAGAACTTCAAACATTGCTCAGTGGAGCGGGAGGGCAAGAGTTGGATTGCACTTCCAGCGCAATCCTAAACAAAAGTCAGGTTTAGGATTGGCCTGTAGCCTGCATATATGCGTGGCAGTTTTAGGATTTTCTGGACTTGACAGGTGCTTCTTTCATAGGTTGGCAGTTTCGACTGCCTGACGGCACCCAACGTTTGCAACGATTTGTATGTTTATCAGCCGTGCGTTGCAGTCTTTAAAGGAAGAGGAATAAACGACTATGAAATTCATCATGGTAAGACCAACTTCTGCACGTTTTCAAACCTTTGTGATGATTGGTGCATGTTCCTTCTTGCTGGGGAAGATTGCAGGTTACATGGGAAGGTGCTTGTAAGAATGCTTTCGGGGGGTTCTTTTGAAGGAAAACAGCTTCAATAGTTGTGATTTTGAGAAGGGCGTAAAGGAGGAGAGAACGTTTAATCCAGGAGGTCCCCAACCTTTTGAAACTGTGGGCACCAGTGGAATTCCAACAAAAGGTCATGGGCGCAGCGACGAAATGGCTGCCGCAGAAAGTGGAGCTGACCACAAAAAGTCAGGAAGTGCAGTTACACGTAACTCTAATAGCAACTCTTCAGCATTTCAGGCCCAAGCTCTGCTCAGCAGGATGCCTTTCCAACGAATACAGTTTAACAAATATGTTCTTCCATACACAGTAACACAGCAAAAGACCCTCGTGCTGTGATGGCAGCTGCTGCCGCAGCAACTTTTGAAAACTCTGCAGGCCAATCAGATTTCCAGTGACCCTGCTGGGCAAAGGTCCCATCTGGTTTCACCCACTTTCTAAAGTTGGTGGGCGTCAAGAAAGGTATCAGCAGGCACCGTGGTGCCCCCCAGGCACCACATTGGGGACCCCCTGGCTTAATCTGTTAACCTCTTTCTCTGCTGGGGTTGCCAGCCCCCCCCCCCCCGGCCACTGGCGGGGGATGGAGGATAGGTTGTTCCCGGATCTAGGTTGGAAAACTTCTGGATATTTGGGGATGGAGCCTGGGGAGGACAGGAAATTCATAAGGGTACAATGTCATAGAGTCCACCCTCCAAAGCATCCATTTTCTCCAGAGGAACTGGTCTCTGTAGTCTGGAGATGAGCTGTAATTCCAGGGAATCCCCAGGTCACACCTAGAGGCTGGTGTCCCTATTCTCTGCTAGGTTTCCCCCCACTTAAAATCACACAAAGCCGTGCTTCTTTCTGCATCACCCCTGGTCTAAAATGCTCTCTGCTGTATCCTTTTCCCCCATGGGAGGGAATAGCAGGGGAGAGGGCATTTTGAGTTGGGAAAACAGCCAGTAAGTTCATAACTGTCCGTGATAATGAAATGCAGCCTCAGATACCGAGGCAAGGGAAATTCAAGCATCTGTTCAAAGATTACAAGGAAACCTTTGCCAAGGAGGAAACATGAGTTGCTCGCTTCTGTACATGTACATTCTGTTCCCATGGAAGGGAACAGGAGCAGGTCCACTGGACCCACCCATGAGCATCCATGCATATAGCCTAACGTACGCCCAGTACAAACAACCATAGATATGGATATTTTGCATGTAAAGCCTTGATACTGGTTTTTGCAGTGTTTCCAATCTCATGTATAAAGTTTGTGTGTGTAGAATAGGATTTGTGCACAGGTGGGATACTATCCTGCTCTAAGTAGATTTTACACCCCCTTTTAACTCCTGAAAATGGCAGATGTCTTAAATGAAGATTTGCAAGTTTTGCTCATGATAGAAGTGTGATGGATCTCATTGTGAGAAAAGGAAGACAGATGGTATTGAAAGCCAGCTTAGTGGTTACAGTGTCGTCCTGAGATATCGGAGACTCAGGTTCGAACCCCCACTCTGCCATGGAAGCTTGCTGGTTGTTCTTGGGCCAGTCACATTCTCTCTCAGCCTAACATATTTCACAGGGTTGTCATGCAGATGAAATGGAGGAAGGGAGAGCGCTTTGGGGAGAAAAGAGGGATGTAAATACCCAAATAAATAAATAAAAGTGCTGATGGGAAAATAGTAGTTAGCACCATCATATCAAACTTCAATGAAGTTATGTTTTTTTTCCTTTGAAGGGAAGAAGATTTTGTATGATATTTTGGCTTTTGCCAAGGAGAGTGTGAACTCTCACGTCATCACTCTTGGGCCCGAGAATTTTCCTGGCAAGCAGAAGGAGCCGTGGCTGATTGACTTCTTCGCACCTGTAACTACCATGCCATTATTTCCAATCGTTTTAAAACACTAAAATGTATTGCTGCGTATGTTATTGATGCATTGTCAAAGCAGCCACATCAGGGCATGTAGTAATGTTTTGGACCATAGTTATGCTGTGTTCTGCACTGCACAGTGCTGCCTATTTTAGGAGATCGTTTGAGTCCAGTGGCACCTTTAAGAGCAACAAAGTTTATTTCTGGATATAAGGTTTCACGTACATGCGCACTTCTAGACTTGTAGTTCTCTAAATAGTTTTGTTCAGATGTTGTTTAATTTTAAACTGTTCTTTTGCACTAACTGTGGTTAGTGTGATTGTCTGAAGGCAGGCCACACTGCTTCCTCCATCAAGCCAGGAGCTGAAGTTGGTTTCTTAAGCACAGATAGCCTTAAGTATGGTCTTTGTGTGATGCACCTATGCAGACACCACGGCTGAATCCTGTCTTAATGTTAGCCTGTTCCCCAGCATTACCCCCCAAAAAAAAACTACATAGAAGGCAACAAAGCCAGTATTTGTTGAGGCAAACCAGAATCTAAACAATTGTCTTTGGTTTTGCAAGATTTATATCTTGTTTTTCTCTGAAGAGTGGACTCAAACCTGTGAGCTGAATAGTTTCACAAAAGAAACCATGGTTTCGTGGGACTCGGGGGTCCCAAACGTTTTGAGCCTGGAGGCACCTTTGGAATTCTGACACAATGTGGTGAGCGCAGCCACAAAATGGCTGCCACGCTTGCGTTCAGTCAGACAGTGAAGATGCTTGTGGTGTGGTGGCAGCTGCTGCCAAAGCAACATTTATAAAAATCGGCACAGCCCATCAGGTCTCCAATGGCCAATCAGAAGTCTTGCTGGGAAAAATCCCCATCTGGCCCTTCCTACTTTCTAAAAACACTTGGCAGGCGCCAGGAAAGATGTAGCCCCCCGAGTGCAATGGCCATGTATGTTAAATGGGGTATGATTTGTTGTAATTAGCCAGCTATTTTATCTCCCTTTTTTTAGTGGTGTCCTCCTTGTCGAGCTTTACTCCCTGAATTGAGGAAAGCATCAAAGCAACTGTATGGTCAGCTGAAATTCGGGACGCTGGACTGTACCGTTCACGAAGGGATTTGCAACATGGTAAACCGCAAGTATAATTTGCCGTCTTCTCTGATTCACGTTAATTCCTCTGAAACATGTCCTTTCACAGTGATGGTGCCGTGAAAATGATGGTTTTAAACCTCTACAGATCTCTGTTTGTAAAACCCAAAGACTTACGTACAAAAACAACACACACGCATGCACACATCAAGCTAAGTTTATGTTTAAGTGATTTTCTCCCATCTCTTATATACTCTAAGATTCTGCAAACTTACATCTGTGTGCAGGGGTCGTTTTGTAGAAAAAGAGCTAGGGGAACTCATTAGCATAACTCATTAGCATATGCCACACCCCCTGACATCAGGGGCCCGGCGGTGGACCTGCAAGGCCAGCGGGAGTGCGAGGAAGCCCCGCCAAGGCCCTCCCTGACCCCAGGCAGGCAGGGGGGGGGAGAGGCGGGGAGGAAGCAACTTACCCTCTCTCTTCTCCTGCCTCCTCCTGGCTGAATGAGGGCTGGAAGCAGGGCGGCCGGAAGCAGGGGGCGGGGCTTCGTCATGTGCCCCGCCCCCCTGCACCTCACCCAGGGGAACTGCGTTCCCCGCGTTCCCCCCGAAATGACCTCTGTCTGTGTGAACTTGGAGATTCTGTGAATTGCAAAATACATGAGACAGAATTGGATTGGCTGAAGGAGTAGGAGTATAGCAGGCATATGTAGAAGGATATATGGCATTAAAAACCCTGAATTTTCAGATTCTGAATGGGCTCCAACCAGCTTCTGTATAGGCAAAAAGGGCAGGAGGGAATGTGTTCCTTTTGATCACCAGACTATGGTGGAACCTGCGTGGACAAAAACCAGGAGGGATGGAAGCTGTAGTAGGGAAGGGTAATAATCACAGTGAAAAAGCTGTCTGGATCCAGCCTTCTGTTGACAACACTGCAGGTTTCTCTAGTTTTTTGGGTGAGAGCCCTGAAAACAAAAGCGGGAGTTGAAACCTAGTAAATTTCAAGTATACTTTTTTAACAATCTAATTTTGTCCTGCCTGTCCAAAAAGCTTAAGACATTTCTGGTAATTGCTTTCTGCCCCACAAGACTGCCCAGCATCCTTCTCAGTGTTGCACTGAAACGTTCACCAGCCTTCTCTAATACGCCACATTTTTTTCAGTAATTGAGAATAAGACAGACTTTATTTAACTTGCAGCATGCATAAGTTTCCAAAATAGAAAACTGTAATTTCAAAGTACTGAAAAGGAAGTGGCTGAAAATGACTGAAACTTAAAACAAGTCTTCGCTAGCTGTTTTTAAGAGGGTTTTTTTTCTTTGTGATTTCATAGCACAACATCAGAGCTTACCCTACAACTGTGGTGTTCAACCAGTCTGACACCCATGAATACGAAGGGCATCACTCCGCTGAGCAGATTTTGGAGTTTATTGAGGTAAGTGCCAGATAGAAAATACAATGTTAGTTTTTATTTACCAAAACATTTATGCCCTGCTTTTCTTTGTGGCTCAACAAGTCTTACAGTTCCAAACTTTAAAACATACAGAGTACAATAAAACCCCAAATGACTTCCCTCCCCCTTTCAAAATATCTGCAGCGCACATCCCATTAAAAGTCCTGGCAAATACAATAGCAATGCATTGCTTCTTAGACACCGCTATAGATTGCACCTCCCCCCCCCATCTTCTCAGAAAGCGCATTCTGTAGGGTAGGCACTTTGGAAAAGGCACAGGCTTTGGTAGATGCCAATCTGACTACCCTAAGTGGGGAACAGCTAGCAGGTAGCAACCTGGGAATCACAGGGGTACATAAGGAGAGAGACAGTCCAAATATGTGGGGGTCCCATGTTTGAAGGGCATTAAATATCATAATCAGCCCACTGGCTTGACTTCTGGAACAATCCAGCAGCCAATGTAGGGGAGGCATGCCCGTAGCTGTGGTGGGGCTTTTGGGGGCTCTGCCCCCTTTCTTAAAAGCACAGCCCCACAAGAATTTATCCTGTAAATGTTTTCTTCAATCATTTAAAAAAGATTTTTTAAAGACCTGCACTTCTTTTAAGCAGAGTGGGGTGCTGTAGTTTACTAATTCCTGCACTGAGCAAGGGGGTTGGAGTAAGTGACCTCTAGGATCCCTTCTAACTCTGTGTCAAGAAGCTGGTCTCCTTTAAGAGAGTTTTCCTGCATAGCTGTTTGCTTTCTTGACTGTAGGAGTCATCCCCCCCACCTGCCGGCTTGTTATCAGAATTGTTGCTTAGGCTGGCAGAAGTGACAAACTCGCAGCAGCCAAGAACTGTCATCTAAAGTGGTTGACAGCTTGCAGTTCAGAGATCTATCCTGGTAACAGCTTTTCTATTGGCTAAGTGGTTTTTCTTTCTGCACTGAGAACTTCAGCCCCACCAGGAAAAAATTTGCCCCACAAGCCACAAAATCCTGGCTACAAGCCTATGGGGAGGGCAGGCTACAAATCAAACAAATCAAATCAAAATAGGCAAGATATTTTCCTGCTGCCTAGCCCCTGACAATAATTTGGCTGCTGTGTCCTAAACCAGTTGCAGTTTCCAGGTTGCCTTCAAAGACAGTTTTGTCAGCTCACCTATGTTATACAGGAATTGGTTCAAAATTAAGTTAGACAATGATGTCACCGGATTTTTCTTAAATAAAAAACAATGATCCCTTAAGCTGTGCTTATGAAATAGTGTGTTTAGGGTTTTGGTATGTTATTAGGTTACCTTATTAAGTACTGTAAGTAATTCACTTACTCTGGGGTTTCAGTTTTGCCTAACTTGACTCATCCTTTTACTACTGAGTTAAGTTTACAAACTTGAAAGGAGATTCCATTTAACCGCCTCTATTCTCAGGATCTCATGAACCCGTCAGTAGTTTCTCTAACACCGGAGACCTTCAGCGAGCTAGTGGAGAAAAGGAAGAGTAACGACATCTGGATGGTCGATTTCTACGCTCCGTGGTGTGGTCCCTGCCAAGCTTTAATGCCAGAATGGAAGAGGATGGCCAGGGTAAAAAATGGTCATAATCAAAGTTCTTTTCAGTCCTCAGTGTCAATAATATGATGCACAATTTAGGAATGAGTGTATCTTTTCTCTTTATTTCTGTGGAAACGTTTCAACTGTTCCATCTCATAGTATTGGATACCCTCAAACACCCCACGGGGTCTTGGGTACACATGGAGGTTCCAAATACATGCATGGAGGGTTTTTTCTTCTCCCCTACACAAAATGTTGGATCTGTATGTGCTTCTCTTTCTCTTTTTTTGCAGCACAAATGGTATGTTGTCCGCTTGCAAAAAATTCAAAGAGGAGCAGTGAAACTGTGAGAAGGGCTCCCCCCCTCCCCCCCAGAAGAAATTTCTACACTGTAGTGGTTTAAAATCCCCTGGGAATTTCATGCCAACTCTGAAGGGACTTCTCAGGCTCTGTGTGTGTGTGTGTGTGTGTGTTTAGCATTTTTTCTGCAGCCTTGCACAAGATGTGCATCCAGTCGCATCACTTTCTCCCCCCCACCCCGAGCAGCATGCACAAAAGTTTGCTCATCAATGCACCGTTTTCTTTTTAAACTGATACAATCAAATCAGACAAGAGTAGACATTATACGGGTCTGGAAGTCTAATCTGTATCACAGGAATTACGCTGTGTCGTAAACCAGACTTGGCAGGTTATCATGGCACCCCTAATAGAACTCTTGAAATAACTGACCTGGAGTAGTTACTGTCACCTATTTTAAAATTGCACAGAAAGGAATGGTAGCAGTCTTATTTTTCTGATAGATCAAGATGGGTAGCCATTGTTAGTCTGTCTGTAGCAGTAGAATAGAGTCCAGGAGCACCTTAAAGACTAACAAGACATGTGGCAGGGTGCAAGCTTTCGTGAGTCATGGCTCACTTCTTCAGATAATCTGCGGGGGGAGAAGGTGCATCAGAAGAAGTGAGCCGTGACTCATGAGAGCTCCTCCCCTGCCACATATTTTGTTAGTCTTTAAGGTGCTCCTGGACAATTACTCTTTTTTTCATTTTTCTGAGTTTGTTCTAAAAGTAGGAATCACTACACCTCTGTTTTCAGTTTCATTGCTGCGGTCTGTTTAAATTTCCATTTCTGAATGCTTCTTTATATAATATGAGCTTATCAGGGACTATACTAAGAGAGAGTGAGAGAGACTAAGGGTATGAGAATTGAAGGGAAATATTTTATGTGCATTTTAAAACAAATCTACCATGGCCCCTGTCACACGGGCCGGATATCGCAGGGGGGAGGCGTGGCTGTTTGCCCCGGGGCAAAATAACACACGGTTGCATGATCAGAGGTTCTGTGGAGGTCCCATGGAGGTCCCGTGGGTAGGGGGGAGGTGCCGATCACAGGACAATCCTGCGGCGCAGCAAAGAAGCGGCGCGGTGCGGCAAGCGGGTTTGTTTTTTTCTGTACACCAAAGTATGCGCATGCTCCGTTGGGTGTTTGTGTGCATCCATGGAGACTTGGGGGGGAAAAACCTTTTTGCAAGGGGACATGGGCGGGCGCCGGATGCCACCGGAAACGCGATCAGACGCCCGCCCTTGCCCTGCGGTTACCAGAAACTAGTACCTCGGAGGTACTAGTTTTTTACCCCACATCTTCGGCGGGAAGCCTCAGGTGAGCCACGGGACCTCTACGCCTCCCAGATGTGGCGGTGAGATCGCTCCCGGAAAATCCGCCTATCTTCCGTCTCTCTAGCGTGGCTAATGCTCCTTGTGACCGCAGCCCATCTTGGGTATCGTGGCATGCGTTCCACAGGTACGTGTGCCATCTATGCACCTAAACGAGAGCTGAGTGGAGGGATCTGTTTCAAAGGAACCTCACCACAAACCTTTGGAATCGCTTTTCAAATTTCTCTCTAGTTTAAACGGCAGTGTGATGAAGGAAAGGTGGCAAAAGAGCTGCTTTACACGCATGCACGTACCAGAGAGCACGAACTCCCGAGTGCTTGCTTATCTGATCACTGACTGTGCAGGTCTCTGTTCAAGATGAGGTCTGAAGAGTGTCCTCGGTTTATACTTGCATGCCTTAAATCACTTTTGTGGATGGGATGCTATAACCGCCTTGAGCTCCGAATGAAGAAAGGTGGCTAATGAATATTTTAAATAAATGCATAAATAAAATGTTGGAGCTCATTTATATTCATGGAGCTCAGACTGCTTGAATCCAGGTACGTATTTTTCTCATTCATGTAGATCCTTTCCTTTCATAGGAACGAATGCAAAAAAGCACACGCCTTTGAGAGATCCATGTGTGCATCTAAAGAAACACTGGACTGGATCCAGCAATCTTTCAGTAGAAGGCAGAGAGGTGGAGACTTGTTCCTGAGTTTCTCTCTCCAAAGCAGTTCCTCAGCCAGCAGGTCCTATGCCACCAAAGTTTCCAGAATCAGGACTTCTGGGAATGCTAGAAAGATCCACGATTCTCTCACTCACCGATTGCTGGATCCAGCCCATTGATATCTACCTTAGGATGGGGGGGACTTCTGTAATTTTCATTTTTACAACTCAAGCTGCATAAGTTGCTCCCCTGTTTCAGTTGCTGAATGGACTGGTCTCCGTCGGCAGCGTGGACTGTCAGAAATACTTCTCTCTGTGTCACCAAGAAAGCGTCCAAGGCTATCCTGAAATAAGACTCTTCCCACAAAAGTCATCTTCATCTCATCAGCACTAGTGAGTCAATGTAACACATGGGGCGTTGTATTCTCGGCTTGTAAATACACTTGGTTAAGACTGTCAGAGAAGGCAATAATAGTTTGGTAGTGGTGGAAAATGTTATCAAAGTCGAAGCTGACTTATGGGGACCCCGTAGGGTTTCCACGGCAAGAGAGGCACAGAGGTGGTTTTGCCATTCCCTGCCTCTGCATAGCAGCCGTGGATTTCCTTGGTGGCCTCCCATCCAGATACTAACCAGGGGCTGATCCTGCTTAGTTTTCGAGATCTGATGAGATCAGGCTAGCCTGGGCTATCCAGGTCAGGGCAATGCACGTGGTCATTTACAGTGCAATCCCGAAGGTGCTGCATCCTCCCAAGCCCCTTGATTTCAAGAAGAGGAAGAGAGGAGAGAAGATTGGATTTATATCCCGCCCTTCACTACCAAAGGGAGTCTCAGAGCGGCTTACAAACTCCTTTCCCTTCCCCTCCCCACAACAGACACCCTGTGAGGTAGGTGGGGCTGAGAGAGCTCTGACAGAAACTTCTCTTTTCAAGGACAGCTCTTGTCAGAACTATGGCTTGCCCAAGGTCATCCAGCCAGGTGCAAGTGGAGGAGTGGGGAATCAAACCCGGTTCTCTCAGATTAGAGTCCACGCTCTTAACCGCTACACCAAACTGGCTTCGTGGATTTGGGAATGGTGTAACTCTGTTTGGGATTGCAGTCAAGTGGGGGGCTGTGTTAGTCCGTAGTGGTGGAAAGTGCCATCAAATTGTAGGTGACTTATGACAGCCCCATAGGGTTTTCAAGGCAAAAGAGAACGCCTGCCTCTGCGTAGGGACCCCCTGGACTTTCTGGATGGTTTCCCATCCAAGTACTAACCAGGGCTGACTCTGCTTAGCTTCTGAGATTCGGCTGGCCTGGCTGCTACTTGTCTGTAGTAGTAGAAATCTGAGTGCAGTAGTGCCTTAAAGACCGGCAACATTTTCCAGGGTATAAGCTTTTGTGAGTCAAAGCTTACTGTCATCTTCAGGGCAGAGCCTGGCGCTTTTGCTCTACCTTGGGTTTCCAGGTTGCTCGAATACAACAGTAACCAGTAAGACAGAATGCAAGAGTATGGTCTACTAACCAGTCCAGAGTCATGGAGCTGAAGGTTCAGTCCAAAGGAGGGTCCAGAGTCCAGGGTCCGGCACTTGGAAGCCAGGACAGGGTATGGGGTCTGGGTCTCTAGCTGGAAAAGCAAGCACAGGTTAAGCAGGACAGGGTGCAAGGCAAGGTAGCGTCCGATTTGCTGAGTGGGTCAGCTCACAGAGGGGGTAGCGAGCAAAGTCGCTTTCACGCCAAGCCTGGCTCGGTGTGTTCCTTTTAACTGCCTCCTTTTGCTGACTCATTCCCCAAAGCCCAGGTGTCGCTTCTTCCTGGTGGATTCCTCATCCTCCAGGTGTTGGTCCTTGCTGCTTTCTATCAGCATGTCAATCCTGATCCTGTAAAGGCTTCACTCCAGGAACCAACGTTGATCACTGCTGTGCAATTAGGCTAGCGCTCCATCTTCTCTCTAAAGCTAAAGTAAGGAAGGTGCTAAAGAATGCCCTACCTTCTACAAGACCTCAAGGAGGCTGAGGGGCAGGTGCTAAAGAATGCCCTAGAAGACCCCCCCCCCAACCTGGCTGATTGGGACAGGGGCGGCGGGGTCTTCTAGGGCATTCTTTAGCACCTGGCTCTCAACCTCCTTGAGGTCTCATAGAAGGTTTTCTTCACGAAGCCACTCTGGGAAAAGGACGTGATACTTCCGAGTAGCCCGCGAGACCAGGAGGCTTTCTTCCTTCTACGCTGCGCTGGTTCAGGAGAACCCGATGGAGTCTGAGGCTCTGGCCTCTGTGTCCTTTCTGTCATCTCCTGCCAGAAGGAGCAGCCTGGCTGTGGCTGGGAGGTGTTCTCACTTCCCGATGTTTCCCCCATTGAGTCTGAGGAGCTGCTCAGGTGGGTATTCCACCGGAGCGGGGCCCAACTCCTCCAATTCTTCCTCCAAAGAGGAGGTGTCCACTGGCTTGGCCCATCACTTTATCAAATACGAATACATTGCATGACTTATTTTAATTGCTAGTGCTGTGGATCTGACCTTAAGAATAGCAAAAATATTAAAAAGTATGCTTTTAGAAAACCTTGTGATATGTTTGTAATGGTACTTTGTGATAGTTTTGAGGGATTAGGAAGGTACTGTTGCCCTTGTGTGTTCTGTACACTGCTTAGCGGGGCTATTCAAATGCCAGTTTTTCTCTCTGTGTGTATGTGTAGCTAATTTTTCATCTTGGAGGACAAAAGAAAAGCTGTCCATGGTCATTCCAAGAACCACGTTTCTCATTTACTGCATCCTTTAAAAACAAAAGTGAAATGGGTTCATCACCGTGTATTGTTCCCTTTCTCAGGGCTGGTTTCAGAATTATTTCTATAGAGGACTTTATGTTGAAAATCTCGCACTAGAGTAGAAAGTCCACGCAATCTCCTGCCCTTCAAAGAAAAACATGCCTGCGCATACAAGTAGGAACCCAGATCATGGTCTTTCCCAAGCAACATTCAGTGCAAGACTAATTCTTCACATTCAGAGGCACTAAGTCTATGAATCCCAGATCCAGGAGGCAACATCAGGGGAAGGCCTCCGCCTCTGTGCCCTGTTGTTGGCTATCCAGAGGAACTGGTTGGCCACTGTGTGAGACAGGATGCTGGACTGGATGGGCTATTGGTCTGATCCAGCAGGGTCTTCTTGTGTTCCTAGGAAGGCCTCAGCCTCTATGTCCTGTTGTTGGCCGTCCAGAGGAACTGGCTGGCCACTGTGTGAGACAGGATGCTGGACTGGATGGGCTATTGGTCTGGTCCAGCAGGGCTTTTCTTATGTTCTTAAGTTCTTGTGTCTGATTGAACTTTACATCCTGATTGAACTTTACATCTGTCTCAGCTATAGGCTAAACTTTGTTTTTGTGCTTTTCTTGTAGCAGCTACAATGGGTGGCACAGAGATGCTTACTCTCTGAAAAGATGGGCACTTGGGTGAGTCACTATATCAAGGTCTTTTTGACAAGTTCTCCTCTTAGACCAAGTTACTGGGTTTAATCTAGTGACTCATCTGAAGAGAGACTTAGCAGAACATTGGATCCAGCCCACTTATTATATTTTTGTGCCAGTGGTTTGCTTAGTTGTTCCGAACAAGCATATTTTTTTTTTAAAAAAAATCTATAGGTGGTAGAAATTTGGGGCAATCATAGGTTCCTTTGGTGGCATACATAACTTTCACATCATTGTGTATGTGTTGAATATGCATGCACGTCTCTGTAGCATGTTGTGTTTAGATGTAGTAGAGAGATATTTCCATTTAATTAAGTGGGCTAAATTGTATTTGAAACTGTTTTTTGGTTTGAGGCTTCGAAAAATTGCTTTCCGCTCCTGATTAATTTTTGTTAGAAGCTTGCTGTTCTGTAATCCAGACGAAATGTGACAAGTGTTGAAATTTCCACATACTGTCTCTTGAGCCTTGTTTTTTTGGTGAGGGCACAAATTTCAAAGCCGACTTTCTAAATGATTATAACCTTGAGATTCATATCATTTTGGAAATATTCTGAGTAGCTTCAAGGGAATGAATGAGAAGTTTGCCTTTGACCTTGGGTAGTTGAAAATTTTAATTGTTACTTACGGATCACTTGAAGGGGGGGTGTCCGACTGAGTTCTTACTGTCTTTGTTTTCCCCATTAGATTTTTGCCTCGGGCATCTCTGGATCTGACACCTCAGAGTTTCACTGACAAAGTCCTGAATGGAAAAGATCACTGGGTCGTTGATTTTTATGCTCCTTGGTGTGGCCCTTGCCAGAATTTTGCTCCAGAATTTGAGATTTTGGCTAGGGTAAGTATATAAACCAAAAGGGAGACGGCAACCAAGAAATCCGACTGAGACTGGGAAGGGCAGCCAGGAAGGAGTTGGAAAAGATTCTGAAGCGTAGGGATGCGTCGCTGGCGACCAAGATCAAGTTAATTCACGCCATAGTATTCCCCATAACTACATAAGGGTGTAAAAGTTGGACAGTGAAGATAGCTGAACAGAAGAAAGTTGATTAATTTGAAATGTGGTGTTGGAAGAGAGTTTTATGGATACCATGAACTGCCAAAAGGACAAATAAGCAGGTTCTAGATCAAATCAAGGAGCTGCGGTGGCTCAAGTGGTTAAGACGCTGAACTGCAGGCTGTGGAAGGTCAGTAGTCCAGCAGTTCGAGACCCGAGTGTGCCGCATGACGGAGTGAGCTCCCGTCTCTAGTTCCAGCTCCTGCCAACCTAGCAGTTCGAAAGCAAGAAATTGCAAGTAGATAAATAGGTGCCACTTTGGTGGGAAGGTAACAGCGTTCCGTGCGACTTGGTGTTTAGTCATCCCGGCCACATGACCACGGAAACGTCTTCGGACAGCGCTGGCTCTTCGGCTTTGAAACGGAGATGAGCACCGCAACCCTAGAGTCGGACTCGACTGGCTTTCGAGCAAGGGAAACCTTTACCTTTTTAGATCAAATCAACTCTCCCTAGAATCTAAAATGACTAAATAGAGGCGATCATATTTTGGTCACCTTATGAGAAGACAAGAGTCACTGGGAAAGACAGTAGTGCCGGTAAAAGTTGAAGGCAGCAAGGAAAGAGAAGGACCCAGCATGAGATGGATTGACTCAGTCAAGGAAGCCACAAGGGCCCTCAGTTTGCAGCTGTTTATGAAAAGACATTCATAGGGTCACCATAAATTGGAAACACGTTGACAGCCCTTAACACACACAAACGTGTGTAATCTTCCTAGCAATAGCAGATTATTCTTATAGGTCTATGGATGTGGTACTAAACAGATGGACTCTATAGATCATACTCTTTTGGATTGCCCTGAATCTTCAGATTTGAGAGCTGAATTGATTTTCCCTTTGCTTGTGCAGGACTCTGTCTCTTTAAAAGCGAAGTCTTCTTGGTTACTAAAAGATGAAGACAAACAAGTAACAATCTTTAATTAAAATTGTTGGGCTTGAAGGCTATGCTTGTTGATAAAAACGTATCTCTTTATACATTTGCAGAGATCGGCGAAATGTCTAAAGAGATAAGTTTTTAATCAACAAACATGGCCTTCGAGCTCAAAAAAATTTTAATTAAAGATTGTTATGACACCAGCTGTGAATGCTTCAAGTTAAACAAACAAGTAACTTTGCATGTGGCTAAATTTTTGGCGGCTGTCATAAAATCACATTGTGATTCTGTTAGCAAATCTTAGGTTTCCCTTTTAATGAGTGACGGCTCACTGTTTATGACTTTTGTCATGGAAAGTAATTAAGAAGAAGAATTATTTCTTTAATATAACAAACCTCAGCCTTGCAGCCTAGTCCAAAACCTAATCCCACAGTAAAAAAATTACTACCTTGCCCATCCGTTTTCTGCCAAGTTCACACTTCCAAAGCCCAGTCAGTCACCAAGTCACAGAGACTTCAGAAGCTACATGAGTCTTCACCAGGGGTCGTTTCATAGAAAAAGAGCTAGGGGGACTCATTAGCATATGCCACACCCCCTGACATCACCGGAAGTGTGTCATAAGGCCACACCCCCTGACATCACCAGAAGTGTGTCATAAGGCCACACACCCCGCCCCCAACGGTCCCGGCCGCCACCGCCGGCCTTGGTGGACCTGCAAGGCCGGCGGGAGTGCGAGGAAGCCCTGCAAAGGCCCTCCCTGGCCCCAGGCAGGCAGGGGTGGGGAGAGGCAGGGAGGAAGCAACTTTTCCCTCTTCTCCTGCCTCCTCCTGGCTGAATGAGGGCCGGAAGCAGGGGGCGGGGCTTCGTCATGTGCCCCGCCCCCCGTACCTCACCCGGGGGAACTGCGATCCCCCGCGATCTCCCCCGAAATGACCTCTGGTCTTCACAGCCTTTGCAGACCCAAGACCTCGCTCTCCTGCAGCTGCTGACAGCACATGTGCACAGAGGCAGGAGGCCTCTCCTTTGCTGTCTTCACATGAGGGGAAGGGCTGTGGTCAGTGGAAGAGCCTCTGCTTAGCATGCAGATGATCTCAGGTTCGATCCCCAGCATCTCCAGTTAAAAGGATATGGCATGTGATAGACCTCTGTCTGGGGCCTTGGAGAGCCGTTGCTAGTCTGAGTAGACAATGCTGACCTCAATAGACTGATGATCTGATTCAATATAAAGCAGCTTCACATGAGGTCCTTACAAAAGGCAGCAGAAAGCAGTGGCTCCACAGGGACTCGCGACTAGCAACTGGGGTTCTCCGACCCATGGGTTAAGGAATACTGCTTTAAAGGAATGAAACTGTTGTCTGTTGGTCTGAGATTCATTCCCATGCGGTTTTTTTCAAAACTGGACTGAAGGAGGAACATAGCTTCCTGTTAGAAGGCTGCTTTCCATCAGCATCCAGAAGAAGACACTTCGGTCCTGCCGATCAGCACATGAAGAGGGCATGAATTCAGAGTAGCCAGGAAGGAATCTGCATGAATTCTGAAATACCTGGGAAGGGCGGGCTGGAGGCATGTGAATCAGTGAGTTTCCACAGGAAGCAGTGATGTGCAGCAGAAGTTGTATGATAGCAAAGATCCTTGCAGGGTCTGGATTGTGGATTTTGAAGGTTTCACACAGAAGATATTTGGATAGAGGAACCAGATCCTGTTTAGGATGTTCCTCAGGCCCATTTTTTTTTTTTTCATTCTCATTTCTCTGGCTTATAATCTGCTTGGGAAATCGAGAGAGACTGAGACAGGAGACTTTTCACATATTCCGTTCTTCCCTCCATCCTGCTTCCTTCCAGTTACAAGTAATTTGCCGGCAAGTGGATTCTGACTCTTTTTTTTTTTTTTAACAATGTACATCAATGCTTGCCTGCTTCTCTTTCTTTCTTAAAGACGGTCAAAGGGAAAGTGAAAGCAGGGAAAGTCGACTGCCAAGCGTATAGCCAGACTTGTCAATCTGCCGGCATACAAGCATATCCAACAGTTAAGTTTTATCCGTATCAAGGAGCAAAGGTAAGGGTCTGGGGAAATTGTCAACTAATAGGCGCTGCTGGCAGGTTTTTTGTTTGCTGTTTACTTTTATTGACTTGCGAAATATTGGCACCAGTCATACGGCAAAGTTGCCGCGGGAGAGGCACGGATGGTGGGCGGATTATCCGTGCACCAGTGTTCCCTCTAAGCTGAGTTAGTGTGAGCTAGCTCACAGTTTTCTAACCTCCAGCTCACGCATTTTTCTCTTAGCTCAGGAAGAATGGCTCCAGAGTAAACTAATTTATGCAGCAGCCAAATCACTGCTCATAGCTTTAATGCCCGGAGCTCACAAAGTGGAATTTTTGCTCACAAGACTCTACAGCTTAGAGGGAACATTGCCGGGCGTGATCACACCCCAACATCTGGGAAGTGGAGCGCACCGGTGGCTTACCGCCGACAATGCGCCTTAAAAAACTAGTACCTCCAAGGTACTAGTAAACGTTTGCCACGGGCTGCCTCTAGACAGCAATTGGTGTGATCGCGCCAGCGCGCAGCATTCCCCTCCAGTCCCTCGTTTACCCGCCGGTGCCGAGGGAAGGACCCGTGGTGTGCCGCCGGCGCGTCTGATCGCGTAATCGCACATCAAACTGCGCCGGGGCAATTAGCCACGCCTCCCCCCCGCGATATCCGGCCTGTGTGACTGGGGCCATTGATATGCAACCTAGTGCCTCTGCACACACTTCCAAGACAGAGTTCTAACTTTAAAAGCAGAAAACTTCACTGCCCATGGTCAGAATTCCAAAGGTACCCACAAGCTGAAAAGGGGTGGGGACCTGTGAGCTACGGACTACCTTTGTTCTTGTGTTATGAACCAGGCACTGGAGGAAGCTCCTTCTGCCTGTCAGCCATGCAATTCAAGAATGTCTGGAGGTTTTCTTATTAGGGCGTTTCTCTTTGTGCATCCAAAGGGCTGTAAGTTTGGCTTAATTCCATCTTATTACCACGGGAACAGCTTCTCTGTTGCATTCAAGAGAGCTCTTGAGCTTCTGTGCTGTGGCTCAGTCGTACACCATCTGCTTTGCATGCAGAAAATTTCAGGTTCAATTCCTAGCATCTTTCATTGTTGAAAAGATGAAGTAGTCAGTGATTTGGAAGTCTGTCTGTGAGTTGTTAGTACTGACTCTGATCAGTAGAAGACAGCTTCATTTGTCAGCATGGGTTGATGTTTGTGTCTGCACTTTGCAATACCAAGTATCTGCCTGTCATCTTAACAAAAGCACATGTACAGAGCTAACTTAAAGTAGTCTTCATCGAGACAGTCTCTTTAGCTATACGACCAGGTCAATGTTCCCTCTAAGCTGTGGAGTCTTGTGAGCAAAAATTCTACTTGGTGAGCTACTGGCATTAAAGTTGTGAGCGAGTGATTTGGCTGCTGCATAAATTAGTTTGCTCTGGAGCTAAGACAAAAATGGGTGAGCCAGAGGCTAAAAAACTGTGAGCTGGCTCATACTAACCCACCTTAGAGGGTACACTGGACCAGGTATGAGACTTTGTAAGCACCCATCCAAATTGCAATATTTCTGCATTTCTTTTTGCTCCATAAATGTGTGTTTTAAGCCAGAAATGGATAAACTTCCTCTCTTGTGCTTTTTTTTAAAAAAAGAAACATCCTTTTGGAGAACACATAGACAGCCAAGATGTGAAAGTCATAGCCGATCTACTGCTGAACAAAGTTGAAGATATTAAAAACAAGAGGAAAAAGGCCTCCAGAAACAAGGTAGGCAATTTATTGTGAGAGCTGTTAACCTGGATGCTCTAAACACCTTTATCCTGTGTTGCTTGTGGAGATAGATTTAAACATTCAAAAGAGCAAACTTGTTGTCCTTTTATGTTTGAATCCACTGAAAAACTTAATTATTTGAGGTACCTTAAAAACTGGTCTAGCGATGAGGATTGCGATCAAACCCTTAAACCAGGCCCGTAGCAAGGATTGTTTAATATGAGGGGCACCCCCGCATACCTCCCTCCCTGAAATCTTTCCCAGAGCTCAGTGCTGGAATTTATTTAATCATTTTGATTTGATTTTTAACCCGTCCTCCCCACAAACAGGCTCAGGGCAGGTTACAAGTCACAAAATCTCAATAACAATAGTTGAAATAGTTAAAACAATCATTTAAAACAGTAGTAGGAACCACAGTCAAGGTTCATGTTGCTGTGCTCAGTTTAAGCTGATCATGAGGTCAGCAATTGCTGAAGTGATCCTGAGCTGCTGGTTCTCAGAGCTTTCCTTGGGACTGCACAATTCTAGGATCACCTCCAAAATCCCACACACACACCCCAATTCCCCCACTGTGTAGGTCAAAACGGAGTCTCCCTTTGGGAGTGCAAAGGGTTAAGCGTTTCCCTCAGTGTTTCCCTTGGCAGCCTTAAATGCCACATGCAGAGGGGGGAGTGAGTCAGCCCAAAGCTCTCACTCGGCTCTCTGGCTGTCCAGTAGCCCACAGGGACAATGAGGGCAACCTAGCAGCTGACTGACTGACTGCTCAACCCCAAGGGCCCCCCCAGCCCCGTGGCCTGCCGAGACTGCCCGAGCATCAGCAGGAGGGTGGGTGCTGCAATCCCGGAGAAGGGGTGGTGGAGCCCAGAGAGTCTTGGGGTCTTGGCAGGAAGTTGGTGAACAGGCCCCAAGAGGCCCCACCATAGCTACGCGCCTGCCTTAAACTATAGTTAAGCAAAATTTTCAAATTCTGTCAAGTGGTCTGCAGGGTCATGGTGTGACAATCTGTGCCTTAATACTATGGCAGACAGGGTAATACTGCAGTAGTCCCAACATCTTTAAGAAGGAAAGAGACATTATTAGGGATGGGCAGAAACCAGCTGATGAACTAAAGATGAACGAATTCTGGCTGGTTTGTGGTTCATGAAGCAATGTTCAGGAACCGAAGAACCACACGAACTTCCACGAATTTTGATGCAGTTTGTGGTGGTTCGTTTGGTTTAAATGGCTTGGACCCATTTAAACCGCGAAAAACTGAGAGGAGCAGAAAGCAGGGGTTTTGAAACAGGGACCCTGAGAACCATGAACCAGCCAAAATTCTTTTCACAGGGAGCAGAAACCACGGTTCAAACCAAACAGTTGTTTAGAAACCCCTGCTTTCTGGTCCCCATGAAAAGCCTTAGGGAGCAGAAAACAAGGGTTCAAACTTTAAATGGCTCATAAACCAATACAAACTGGTTCTGTTCGCCAGCTGGCATATTGGTTTCGTGGTTCGTTTCATGGTTCAGCCAAGAACTGAATCGCGAAAATGCAGTTTTTTCTCATCCCTAGACATTATCCTAATGAAAATGTTTTGAGATTTGTTGGTTTGCTTTGCTACTTTCTCCAAGAAACCTTTCAGAAAATACTAATTCTTCTATGTTAGGTGTAAGCATAACAGGGCACTGTCTTTTGGGGGAAATAAATTTAGTGTTCTCCTTCCCCCACTGTTGGAACATGCAAAGAATGTGATTCAGTAATTTTTTCTAGCAAGATCTCATTTCACATGCTGTTTCCTACATCGATTGTTAATTTTTTTCCATGAACTCCCCCTCCAACCACCAGGATGAACTCTGAGTGATGGAGCAAATTCGAAGCCTACCAAAGTTGTGGCAACAAGACTTTACTAGATCATGTTCCTGGCAGAAAAAGAAGAGGGATCCATTCCTGGATGCTCAGTTTCTCTCGACGAATGCTACCAGACTTGTTCTCAGACATCCAAAGTGTTCATTCCTAATGGAGGGGACAGGTTGGCTCCATGCAAACACTTCATCTGGAATGACCGTGACTACTTCATGCTGTGCGTATGGAGGACCTAGACAATGATGTAGCCACTCCCTTTCACTCCACCATTTTTCACATTGCTTTCTTTTTAAAAAAAATATATATCTGATTTGTGATTTTTGTTTTGCGTTTAACACACACTTGCCGCAATAGTCAAAGAACTGTGGAGGCATTCCAGATCTACTGTTCCTATACATTCTTTTCAGTACCCTCCCCCCCGACATCCTATTCTCCCTGTTGGTGCCCACGTGTTCCTAAATGGATTATTTCTCTGGGCAGAGAAGATGTCCTTAATTCTTCCTTTTCCCTCTCTTTACATCAAATGTGACTTAAAAATAAATGATGCTCATAATCGCACAGATACAGTGTTGCCGTTGTGAAAAAGAAGACTTTAATTCTCTTGGTTGATGAGTGTGCTTTGTTTGTTTATTTTTTCCCCACGACGGATGCCGTAATTGCTCCGTTACGCTCATTTAAAAAAATGAACGTGCAACCACAATTCAAGCAAGGGTACAAAAGGAGTCATAAAAGAAAGACTGCCCTGCCCAGATCAGTCATCCATTCAGGAATACTATCTAATTCTGAGCACCAAAAGTGGCTGAGGAGGAGAGTTGTGGGCAAAAGCCAGGATCTGCTGCATGGATCAACGTAAATATTAGGATCTTGCCCTTGGGGGTGGGCATTGCCAGATTTCTGAGGGTGAACATAACAGTATACTAAGTGGGAAGTAGGAGTCCTCAGTTCAATCATGCTTTTGCAGCTCAGTGCAGAAACGGAATCCTTCAGTACTGAATGTGGACCCTGCCCAGAGACTTTGGCAGCCATTTTGATGATACACCATCTGCATTACCATGGATCCTTTTTTGCTTGAAGACTCAGCCCATTGCGAGGACACTGTAGGACGTCAGCCTCCTTGCTCTGTTTCTCTGCAAAACCGTCTCTTCTGTGCTACAAAGGGACACTGTTTTCACCTTGGAAAGGCCTAGTGGATGGACTTAACAGGGCAGTTTGGAAAAGCGAAACTGCATTTTTCTTAGGGGAGGGGGGGAGAATGGTCTGATCAACATTTTTTACCTCAATACTGGTTATTTTTAGTGAGTGTTGTTTTCTTTGTGTGGGATTCACTGAGTAAAGTGTTAGTTAGAAGGAGCCCAATTGCCTTACCCATTTGGGTCACCTGCCCTCTAGAAAGCAGCTTCTGTTGTTTTTGAAGATCCCTCTAGAAGAGAAGAAGAAGAGATTGGGTTCACTACCCAAAGGCGTCTCAGAGCAGTTTACAATCCCTCCCCCTCCCCACAACAGACACCCTGTGAGGTAGGTGGGGCTGAGAGAGCTCTTTTGAGAACTGCCCTTGAGAGAACAGCTCTGAAAGGACTTGTAACTGACCCTAGGTCACACCAGCAGCTGCATGTGGAAGAGTGGGGAATCAAACCCAGTTCTCCCAAATTAGAGTCTGCACTCCTAACCACTACACCAAACTGGCCCTAAGGGCCCATGCTGCCTTAGCTGTTCAGTGCACAGCGGCCCAAGGAAGAGCCTGGCTGTGTTGGCTCTCAGCTGGTAGTGCACCAGTTGTTTGCATCAACTTCTGGTGCATGGTTGCAAACTTTTTAAAAAAATAAGCCCCAAATTTGCAGTGATAAGTAAAAAGCCAACGCCAGCAGATGGCAGCACAAGTTTGCTCCAGATTGGACCAGGGGCAGTATGCTTGAAACTTAACATAGAAAGTTAATTTTTGTCTTACTGTCCTAAAGGCCTGTGCTTAAGTTGTGTTGTATTTGTCTTTTTGAAACTTGCGGGGGGCTGGGGGGGCTGGAGGATCCCTATAATTTTTTTTAAAAATGACCTCCAAAGTGGTAACACTCCTAATCCTAAATGCATGTAGTTGAAGCAAGCAGTCTGTATTTTGCCTCAAAGCAGAAATACACAAGAAAAATATAAGATCCGAGTCCAGCGGCACCTTAGAGACCAACAAGAGCTCCAGGGTAGAAGCTCTCCTTCCAATAAAAAGTTCCAAGATCCATAGACCCTGAGCAGTAAATAGTTGTTATTAATCATTTGTTACCCGATAAACAAAAAGAGTGAAAAAATCTTGCAACTGCTAGGGCTTTTTGGGAGGTCCTTACTGGCAAGTAAAGATGTAACTACCTTGTAGGAACATAAATAAGAGCAGGCTGACAACCATGGTGAAATACAGCTGTCTCCTATGGTTCCTACACAGAGGACACCCCAGGAATGTGTGTGCACGGTATCAGTTTCACCGAACCAGCAACAGCGCATTCGTTCTGAATAAAGCAAGCACAAAAACCTACCCCTCATAACTACCTAACAACAGGCGTTTAATCTGGCCAGTACAAAAGGAATAACCCAGGGATGTCGACCTTGTTGGGCGGGGCCATGTGTGTCATAAAATGTAATGCCAGGTAGCGGAGATATAGACTTTATAAAGGACACAAAACAAAGATATTTTTTTTACTTAAAACATGCTTAAAGCATTAGTTCTGTAAGCTGCAAACCTACTTTTGATTTATTGACATTTCACCACAGAAATCTCATGCTCAAGAGTTCTGAGTCTAGGGCCCAGGTTAAAACATGAAATGGCTGAGTGATTAAGAGAGTCTGGCGAAGCAAGCTATGATGCAGCAGCAGAACTGGAAGCAGGAGATGGCCAGTTCTACTGTGGGCCTGATGGAAGCCCTCCAGGGGCCTGATCTGGCCCCCAGGCTGCATGTTTGACATCCCTGGAATAAGCTTTTGAATAAGCCGAGAGTGTGTGCCAGGCCCGAGGTCAGTCGGCGCACTTCCATGGCACAAATGGGAATTTGAACCTTGGTGTCCCAGAGAAATAAGCTCCTCTGACAAAGAGAGGTTTGACGCTCGAAAGCTCATACTGTGAAGATCTTATTGGTCTCTGAGGTGCGACTGGACTGGAATATTAACGGTTCTTCTACAGACCAGCACAGCTGTCCTATGAAAGAAATGCATACAAGCTCATACTGTGAAGATCTTATTGGTCTATGAGGTGCGACTGGACTGGAATATTAACTGTTCTTCTACAGACCAGCACAGCTGTCCTGTGAAAGAAATACATATGCATCTCTCACACACGTGTGCTCTGAGTTGCATCGTCATGGTTTTCCGTCGGCTTACAAGTACAGAATAGTCGGTTTGTGTTACAGTAAACCTGTTCTGCTTTAGTGGTGGTGACCCAAAGTCACCTGTTTGAGGCACTTGTTTTATCTGTATGTTTCTTTTTAAAAAATAGCATTGTAATGTGTAAATCTGGCTCCTGGAGAATTTCAAGTGCCTTCTGAATTTCTAAACATCAGTAACGATCACTTTTGCAAGAGTTTGTGTTTACTGCAAGTTACTTGAGAATGTCTTGTAAAATCACTCTGTGTTCAAATCAAGTATTTTTTTTCCTTTCCTCTGTAAAAGCCCAAGTTTTACCATGTTCCTGCAGGTTAGTATTCATAGCAGGCTGTTCAAGACCAGATGCTTCAAGGAACTGAGAAACCTTTTCGTACTTTGGGTTGGATCCAGCTCAACATTTCTGCTTGCACTGGAGCTCCGGCGCAAGCGGAAATGCAAGGAAAATATCATGGTGGCAGCTTGCACGAAGTCAAACATTGTGCAAGATACTGTTCAACTAATTTCTGGGCACTATAACAGCACCAGAAGTTGCACACAATCTGCACTAAGTCAGTTTACTTTTCCCTTTGTGTGTTGCTGGATCCAAGATTCCGATAATATGGGACAGGGATTATTTTGACAAGCTTGCACACAAAATTTGGTTATGGACATCACTAGCCATTTTCCCTCTACAGAGAAGTCCATACGCACTCTTGCTTGTAACACATTCTCAACCGTCCCATTGGAATTCTAGGAGTCGCTCTCTTCTGTTTTTCCTCATTAGCAGATGCAGAACCACTTGACAAATGCAATTAGGCTGTTGTACTCTTTGAGGAGGCATTTTGTGGGAGTGATCGATGTGTATGTTACGTCTCATGGCAGTCTGCTTCATACTTTTACGATATGGTAATAAATGGTCCTGTCTGGTTAATAACCTTTTGGCTTTCATGCTTCTGTTTCTAGTGTTCAAAACCTTGGGTGAGGTTTGAATTAATCTTCAGTGTTTTGATTACATTTAAGAGGCACATAGTCGACAGCTAAGACTGAAATCACTGGTCGTGTGTGCTATACCCTCGGTGAGCAAGGAAGAGAATGGGAATTTGTTTTTAAAATACCCCACTGCATAAGCTCTTGCAGAAAGTACCAGACAGAAGTTTGGTATTTGATGGAATAATTTCATGCCTTCTCGGAAAACTGACTCATCTAATTCCTGCAAGATGGTGGTTATTCAAGAGTGGCTGGTTTGCCAAACACGAAATGCCATTGATTGCTTCACGGCGCACAATCGAATACATTTAATTACTCCTTGCGGCTATTACATTTATTGGGCTTTAGAGTGCCTCGTGGTGGATTGTAGCAGGCTTAATAAACTAGACTGGCCTCATCTCATCAGAGCTCAGAATCTAATTTGTTTAGATTGAGAGTTTGGTGTAGTGGTCAAAAGACTCTAATCTGGAGAACTGGGTTTGATTCACCACTCCTCCACACGCAGCCAGCTGGGTGACCTTGGATCAGCCACAGATCTCTCAGAGCTGTTCTCTCAAGAGCTCTCTCAGCCCAGGCTGTCTGTTGTGGGGAGAGAAAGGGAAGGCGATTGTAAGCCACTCTGAGTCTGAGTAAAAGGTGAGGTATAAATCCAATCTCTTCTTCTAATTCATTTGTACCCCACCTTTCTTCCCAGTGGGGCCCAAAGTAGCTTACGTCATTCTCCTCTCCTCCATTTTATCCTCACAGCCACACGCTGAGGTAGGTTAAGCTGAGAGGGTTTGACTGGCCCAAGGTCACTCAGTGAGTTTCCATGGCACAACTGGGGATTCGAACCTGGGTCTCCTAGATACTAGTCCAGCACTCTTAACCAGTACACCACACAGGCTCTGTAAGGAGGGCTGGTACCTGAATGGGAGACCACCAAACAGGCCTGTAGCTACCACGGGGCCCAACCCCCTGCTGTTTTTTTGGGCCCCTCACCTGATCTTCGACCCTCCCTCCCCTCGGTTTTCATGGGCCCCTCCCCCGATCTTCGACTCCCCCTCCCTCCCCCCTCCAGGGACCTGCGATCCTCCCTGGCCAGCTGCAAGGAATCAGCTCCTCTGGCCCGAACAGCCCAATGCCTGCTTAACCAAGAGCTCAGCCCCACCAACTTCCAAGGGACTTGCTCCCCACTGGCGTCCAGGAGCCCAATGGAGCCGGCCACTCACGCTCTGCTCCTCCCCGCAATCTGGGAGAACAGCCTGGCCCTCCCCCACACTCCAGCTGCTGGTCCTACAATCGCCGCCAGCCCCCTGTCGGCTTCACAACCCCGTTGCAGCAGGCTGCTTGGTGCTCTGACGGCGTTGGGTGACTCCTGCTGTGCTTCTCTCTCCCTGACTCTGCTGGCCTTCGTGGCTTCAGGCTTCCCTCCCCGCCCCCTTGTAATCAGCAAGAATGGGTGGCGGGGGGAGGGAGAATGAGAGTTATAGATATTTGACACACACACCCCTGCAGGCGTAGTGCTGCTTTTCTGCAAAGGAGCAGAGAGGATCATGCCAGAAACAGCACAGGGGAGAGGAGGGGGGGAGGGAGGGGATGTTTCTCCCTGATGGCAGGCCTCCCCCCAAGAAAACAGTTGTTAGCTACGGGGCTGCCACCAAAGAAGATAGGGGCTGCTACAGAGGCAAGCAATGGTAAACCACCTCTACTCATCTCCTGCTTTGAAAACCTCATGAGGCAGAATGTCATAGGGTCATCATGAGTGGGTTATGATTGTGGCCCCAATGGAATCTGGGTTAG